TTCAAGGATTTGATAACCTTGAAGAAGCAGTACAAGCGATGGTCAGCTATGTTGGAGGTGACAACAGCTTGTTGGATCATCCCGAAGTTGGTAATTTCATTTTTGAAAAACCAACAAAACAAAAGAATTTTTCAATTTATGATTCCATTAAACTTAGACAACGCTTGACTTTTGCCAAGAAAATGGAATAAAAATTGAAAAACTCCTTTTCTTTTCAGAAAAATGATTTTCAAAAACATATTTCCTGTTTGGAAATAGAAAATAAAAATTTAAAAAACCGAAATCTTAGAACTCCGTAAAAAATGGACTTTGATTTTGAAACCATTGATTATGGAATTTTTACAAATAAAATGGCCTATGTTGGGTCATTCAAAAGAAAATTTTTGGGACAACTTCCCAACCCAATCCAAGAAAAAATCTACGAACAGGTTTTTGTTGCCTTGTTAGTAGAACTTGGAGCACTACAAAACTGGTTATTCCAATTACCAGTAGATTCTACACTCCGCCAATACTTGAGGATAGTCCAATATCAAGATGATTTGACACCCTCATCTTTCGAGCAGTACAACATTGGAATAAACCCTTATTTGGTGGAATGCGATCCTGCTTGGATCAGTAAACAATTAACTGAAGATTTATTCTTTTCACGATTCATGAAAATGATGATTATTTTCAGAAACTCGATGATAGAACCATTTTTCGGTACCAAGATAAATTACTGGATAAATGTGTTCTTTCGAAACATATACAGTGAGGAATATTTCATTGAAATATTCTCAACACACCCCTACAACATAAAAGGGGAATATTATCCAGTTAAACATCACTTGTTTCTGGATACTGAGTCATTCACTGATATCTGTTTCAGTGATAATCTCCAAAAGATTGATCATAATAATCCTCCTTTCACTACAGCGAGGTATGATCAATTCCAAGATGAAGATATCCATAAAGAGCTGTTAGCCGAAACCACCACCATCAGTCTTTGGGTGAAATTTGGCAAAGCTTCTTATGTACGGCGGAACTGTACAAATCCCGCCTCCCCACAACCAATGAGTCTTTCTGATAAAGACGACTTTATCCTTGAAGATTTTGAGGAACTCCTAATGGCGTAATATCTTACGTCATTAGCCATTCAAAGACTAATTTGCCCTTGAAGATTTCGAGGAGCTTCTCATGACGTAAGCCCTTACGTCATAAACGGTTGTATCAAAAGACGACAAAGGTTAATGGCAGATAATGATATCTTGCTACCTTGTCACGATTCCTCTTCCGTTACATGTTGTTAGGCCCATTAAGCCTTACATGTTAATAACGGTAAGATTGAATCAGTCTTTTGATAAAATGTAAAAAATAAAATAAAATTAATTGATGTCACTATTTTTGTCTTTTATTGATGTTACTATTCTTGTTCTTTAGTGAGGAAAATTTCCTCCGAAAAACCTCACTTGTACATTACCTCTCCATTAAGTTTATAAGACCAATAAATCATAAAGTGGGTCCCACATATAAATTACTATTCATTAGTTTAATATTTTTCATTTTCTATATAATGCTTCATAAGTCCCTTATGCTGGGCAAAAAGCATTCTAAGAGGCATTCCCCATACTCTCTCCTCTCCTTCTTCTCTATATTTCTTATGTAAATTTCTATTATCAATAAGAGAAGTTATTCAGCATCTCTCCTCTCCTTCTCCTTCTCCTCCCCCCAAGTAAGTTTTCTCTGCTCCCTCTTATGGAGTAGTTTTCTTATAAGGGTGTCCTTGGATGCCTTAAGCTTTATTTATTAAAAGATGCGATAATCATTTAAAGGCTTAAATAATTTTTGTACAGCTTTATTTTGTGTTCATATAAGCTTATGAGGAGATGTCTAACCGGCTATGTCATATTCAGTCATCTCATAATCTTATCATGGACTTGTGTGTTTATTTTTCCTGTCTTTATTTTTTTGCATTTAATTTCGTTCATGCGTAAGCTTCTGAGGAGATGTCTAACCGGCTATGCCAGATTCAGTCATCTCATAATCTTATGGTGAACACTTTTCTTGCTATAACCGACTTTATCTCGGACAGTCTTCATTTTAGCTAGCCCGGTTTCGGGTTCTTTGTGAGCTAAGTAGCCACGTTGACCGACATAAGAGATAAAGAGTTATAACATGTTTTAATTTATTTTTTTCCTGTCACTTTACTTTCCTCCTTTCCATCCCCCTTTTAGAGTTCAGGGTAGTTTATTCTGAGTTCATTCCCGGTTTTCTCTGTTCTGTCTCCCCTTGGTATCTAAGCAGTGTTTTTTTCATTTTGGGTTTTCCTGCTTTCTCTGTACCTTTTATTTTGGGGTATCATAGCAGTTCTCTGGTGGTTCCAACCCCAGTTCACTGCCTTGAGTTCCACCCCCCTCCCCCCTCTCAGCGGTAGCCACTTAGTCAAAAGTTATAGCTATTAGTAAGGGTTCTCACATTGATACTTAAACCCCCGGTCCCACCACGATTCAGTGTGTGGTAAGTCCCCTCGAAATTCCCGAAGAGCGGGGGAATCAAAGTCACAGAATCGTGGTGGGACCGGGGGTTTAAGTATCAATGTGGGAACCCTTACTAATAACTATAACTTTTGGCTAAGTGGCTACCGCTGAGAGGGGGGAGGGGGGTGGAACTCAAGGCAGTGAACTGGGGTTGGAACCACCAGAGAACTGCTATGATACCCCAAAATAAAAGGTACAGAGAAAGCAGGAAAACCCAATATGAAAAAAACACTGCTCAGATACCAAGGGGAGACAGAACAGAGAAAACCGGGAATGAACTCTGAATAAACTGCCCTGAACCCGAAAAGGGGGATGGAAAGGAGGAAAGCAAAGTGACAGAAAAAAAATAAATTAAAACATGTTATAATTCTTTATCTCTTCTGTCGGTCAACGTGGCTACTTAGCTTACAGAGAAACCGAAACCGGGCTAGCTAAAATGAAGACTGTCTGAGATACAGTCGGTTATAGCAAGAAAAGTGTTCACCATAAGATTAAGAGATGACTAAATCTGGTATAGCCGGTTAGACATCTCCTCAGAAGCTTACGCATGAACGAAATTAAATGCAAAAAAATAAAGACAAGAAAAATAAACACACAAGTCCATGATAAGATTATGAGATGACTGAATCTGGTATAGCCGGTTAGACATCTCCTCATAAGCTTATATGAATACAAAATAAAGTTGTATAAAAACTATTTAAGCCTTTAAATGATTATAACATCTTTTAATAAATAAAGCTTAAGGCATCCAAGGACGCCCTTATAAGAAAACTACTCCATAAGAGGGAGCAGAGAAAACTTACTTGGGGGGAGGAGAAGGAGAAGGAGAGGAGAGATGCTGAATAACTTCTCTTATTGATAATAGAAATTTACATAAGAAATAGAGAGAAGAAGGAGAGGAGAGAGTATGGGGAATGCCTCTTAGAATGCTTCTTGCCCAGCATAAGGGACTTATGAAGCATTATATAGAAAATGAAAAATATTAAACTAATGAATAGTAATTTACATGTGGGACCCACTTTATGATTTATTGGTCTTATAAACTTAATGGAGAAGTAATGTACAGGTGAGGTTTTACGGATGAAATTTTCCTCACTAAAGAACAAGAATAGTAACATCACTAAAAGACAAAAATAGTGACATCAATTAATTTTTTTTTTTTTTACATTTTATCAAAAGACTGATTCAATATTACCGTCATTAACATGCAAAGCTTAATGGGCCTAACAACATGTAACGAAAGAGGAATCGTGACAAGGTAGCAAGATATCATTATCTGCCATTAACCTTTGTCGTCTTTTGATACAACCGTTTATGACGTAAGGGCTTACATTATGAGAAGCTCCTCGAAATCTTCAAGGGAAAATTAGTCTTTGAATGGCTAATGACGTAAGAGATTACACCATTAGGAGTTCCTCGAAATCTTCAAGGGTAAAGTCGTCTTTATCAGAAAGACTCATTGGTTGTGGGGAGGCGGGATTTGTACAGTTACGCCGTACATAAGAAGCTTTGCCAAATTTCACCCAAAGACTGATGGTGGTGGTTTCGGCTAACAGCTCTTTATGGATATCTTCATCTTGGAATTGATCATACCTCGCTGTAGTGAAAGGAGGATTATTATGATCAATCTTTTGGATTATTACTACACAAATGATATCTTGAAATCTTTTTCTTCCATAAAGATATCAAAAACAATCACGTTTGACAACATCCAACAGATACTGGATAGGTTAAACAAAACAAGCATAATAGGAGAAGACCCTACGAAGTTTTGGGATCGTGACCCTGTTATGTGTAAACTTAATATAATCAATCCTGATTTAATTATAAAAACAAAAGACATACAGTTTAACAACTGGGAACAAGAAGAATGTCGATTGCATATCGACAATCTTTTGAAGTTGAAAGTAATAACTCCTAGGGGAAGAAGTAATTTTTAAGAGCACACTCATCATATGCTCGACTTGTATCTCATTTACCACAGAGTTTATTTTTGGGGTTAATGAATGAAATCTTTCTGTAGGAGGGATAGTAATATCTTGGAGATATCCGGCTTCTAACAGAAGTTGAAGGCTTATCAGAAGCTCTCGGTATAGTTGGTTTTTGAAGGTAGACAAATCAATTTTTAACTGGCATGTAAAATTTGTGAATACTGTTTTACATTATTACGAACGATCCTAAACAAGTCGCCATCCCTAAACTGCTTTTCTATCTTCAATGCTTTTTCTTTCGTATTTGTCTACTTTATTTAAAGCTGTACTGTGATTCCTTGGACACGTCTCTTTTGCTTTCAATTATTTTTCCTTTTTCTTGATGGGGAAGCCTTCCAATTCTCACTCACTAGCTTCTTTCTAATAGATCATCTCAATAATTTCTTGAGTTTCTAAGTCTCATTGCTATAATTAATTCTCAACACTTGAATTGATGCACAAGCTGCACTATAATCCAACCACAAATCGCAAACTTGCATGACCAATATCCACCATGGTGAGAACATCCTCCAAGAAGATCCCAATTGTGATACTAAGCGATGAAGAAGACGTTTACACTGAAGCTTCCACACCCTCAAAACATACACCTCCTTTAGCCTCTAAGTTGCACAGAAATGGCAAGTCCATTGATTCAGTTTCAGCTCAATCCAAGAGAAGGTTGTGCATGTGTTCAGAACCTGATGGGGACATGAGGTTCATATCAGAACCAGATATAGAGGACTATGGCTATTTTCTGAGGAAGAAGAAGCCTAAAGCAGATAACAACACGTTACTCCACCTGTTTAGGAGCAAGAGAGGCTTGTTTGTCACGGATGTCGCCAAAACTGAATGGTGTGAAAGGCAAACGGAATTTTCTCTTTTCTCTGAAGAATGGAAGAGCAACGAAGGAAAGCGCGTGGGTTTTGGAGGAGGAAGGAGGAACAACGAAGCTATAAAAGCTGGTAGAAATCGACATGTTCAACTTCAACAAGAGGTTCAAACTTTGGTGGAACTGAAGGTAAAGTCACGTGAAGATGACATGGCAATGAAGCTTGTTAACTTCATAAATGGGGTGAATCAATTGGTGTTTGATGGGTTAACACGCGAGCTTCCAATACTGAGTTTTGCTTTTGCACAAGGCATATGGATGGTGGGGCAGATTGATGAGGTTCAAATGCCTAGAGCAAAGAAAGATCATAATCCAATACTAGTTGAGATAAAGACTCGTTTCCAAGACACAGTTCCTTTAGAAGCACAGAAAAGAAACGGAAGGATTCAATTAATGTGTTACAAGTATTTGTGGAACAATATAGTTGCACATGCTCATCATGATTTCCCATGTAAACAGTTGTATGATTATTTTGAGTTGAATCCTCGTCGTACTCTAAGTAAAGATCTACAAGCAGCATGTGATGAGTCTGGATTCACAGCACGGAGCCTTGGTGATGTGGTGAGGTATTACCAGAATACATGCAAGATGCTGGCACCTGCCAGTGATATGTTAGTGTTGAGATATGAGTCTCAGAGGGACCATTCAGTGTTGTATGAAGAAAAGGTTGCATATGATGAGGGTTGGGTAAAGAGTGAAATAGAAAGTTGTCTTGAGTTGTGGCTTGGACGGAGAGAAGCCAGTTTTGTGGCTGAGGATGAGCAATGGAAGTGTGGTTACTGTGACTTTGTTTCTGAGTGTGAAGGATACACTGATACTGATACTGTGAGCACACAATCTCTTGCAAGTGAGTAGAAAGAAATGTGATGTAAGGTAGCAGAAAAAATGAAGTAACTAGTGGACTTATTTACCTTTGAGAAGTACTATTTATGATATTATTAGGAGTGGTTGTGCTCTATGTTAACAAAAAATTATGCAGTGGTTCTATATATTATTTTTCAATCTTATTTTCTGTATGTATCAGTAAATTTAACAATAAAATACTAATGTACTTGTTTGGGTTTATATGATTTGTGAAGTTTTTTAATTCATCGCTCATTCAAGTGCTGTTAGTGTTAATATAGGTTAATTATAGTCATTTGAGAGAACACACTCAGAAAAACTTATAACATATGACTAACTGTGATAAATAATAATAACTTGAAAAATATCATTTTTAATAAAAGATTTTACAATTCAACTATTAAAATAATCCCCTTCAATTATTGGATATGGTTATAGTCCCTTTCTTCTTTTTGCAAGTCTTGAGCCCAATCAACAAAAGCTAGAGACCCTACTGTGGCAGGGTATGGGCCCACCGAATCCCAGGGACAAAAGAATAACGGTCCCACATGCCCTTGCCCAGTGGTCACGTGCCTCCACTCACTCACACGCAATACAAAACCGCTCATTCAATGGACATATCTAAGGGACAGTGACCCACCCTTCAACTAATCTCATTCTTTTCCGCACCAATTTTTGGGCTAACTTGACACAATGATCTCATATACAGTGAACCTAATCATGTTACATTATATTTTCCCCTTCAATTATTCATTAATTCCCATCACCTCCACATGTTACAATATGCTAGGTAAACCTAATCATTAAACTAGGTAGTGTTTTATTATGTTTCTCAATCATCATAATTTTTCTTCCACAAAATAATTTAAATATTTATATAAAAAAGTAATAATAATAAAATATTTACAAATAAGACACATATTAATCATATAAAAATATAATATTATTTAAAAAAATATTAGATTTGTAAATTTTATTCATATAAATTACTCAAATACCTATTTTTTTTCAAGATTTTAACACGAATTCTCTAGTAATAACTTTTATTTCTTAATAAGTAATCCATTAAGTTACTTAAACAATACCAATTTAAAAAAAAATAAAGAATAAGATTTGTTATTTGAATTGTATTATTTTTATCCACAAACATTGGTTTAATTTGCGTGGACTAGTTGGCTTTGCAGGTGTGAATCTTTCGGTGCCAGACAGACAGCAACATTGTGGCACATGTTGCACTCATGCCTGTGTTTTACTTATTTTCACTGCAATAACATTCATGTTACAAAAAGCAAGATTTTAAGGAGTCCATCATAAGTCTTGTAATTTCCAAATATCATAAATTCAACTAACTACATTTATTACTTTTAAGAAAAACTAACCACTTTTATTTAGTGAGATTAAGAATGAAAAAAAAAGGTGAATCCGCGTCAAACCAACGAATCAGAGTGAAGTGCGCGCCACCAGCACCAAACAAGTGACTTTAGTTAGTGTCGGTTAAGGAAATTTATTCGTTGCATATTAGGAAAGTAGACTAATTGCCCTTTATACAAAGAAAGTACATTAATTATCCATCACATTCCATAATTATAATTATATCTCTATGAATAATATTCAATAAATTATTAATTATTATAATTGAGTATTTAATACTGTATTTATTTCTCTCTTTGATATTAATAGAATTTTTTAAATATTAACAGTATCAAAAACTACTCTTTGAACTATCCAGATTAATTTTTTTTAGGCAAAGTGGGAAAAATTAAAATAAGTTAGTTAGGATGAAGTGCTTTTAAGCAGATTATACGGAAGTAAGCATAAATTACGGTAAAATAAAATGATAAAAAGCGCACCCGCGTTTTTTGTTTCTTTCACTCATGTCAGTAGTAGAATCCATTCATCAATGTGTACACACCACACCATCCCCATGTGACTCTCTGCCCCGTCTCTCATCATATCACACTTTCTCTTCTCTTCTGTGTTCCGCTAAATCTCCAATCCAAGCACGGTTCTTTGTTTAGATGTAATCTCAACGCCACGGTTAACAGATTCTCAGCGTCCCCATGAAGGTTGTGATGTCCGATGTTCACTTATTGTTTCGACCACAACACTTTTTGGGTTGCTTCCACTCAGAAACCAAAATGGCGGTGTGAGTTTTTGACTGTGTGTGAGTTCTGAAGTCATTTTAGAAACCAAAATGAAGGTCTTTTCCTTCAATGGGTTTTCGTTTTTGCTGTTCCTCCTCCCCGGGTCACTGTTTCTCAGCTCGGTTTCAGCTTCTTCTCCAGCTGGGTCGATTCGGCATCCCGTGAAGTTTATCATAGGTTCGGTTTTCTTTTTCATTTTGGCATCGGAATATGGTGATGGGTTGGAATGAAAGATTGGGACTTGGAATGAAAGATAAAAAAAGTGGTGTCAGTTTTTGCTTCATTTGGGTTTCTCTATTTTTTTTTTTCGAGGATTGGGAAATGGAAAATTGGGAAGCCTTGGAATTTTGCATTTTGGCTTGGTGGGGGATTTGGTTTCATTTCATCTTTTTTGCTTTAATTGCAAATGTGATTTAGTTAAGTGTTTTTTTTTTTGTCTGTTTCCACTTTTCAGGGGAGGGAGCAGAGAATTTGGGTGAATGGAAGAGTGAATTCACTCAAGTGGCTCCAGCACCAGGGCCTAAAGGTGAGGATGTTCTTATTCTGGCGGCAAACAGGACCAATAGGCCTGACATTCTGCGAGGATTCCGACGCTATAGAGGTGGTTGGGATATTGCAGATCAGCATTATTGGGCTGTAAGTGCCGTGGTTCCTTCCTTGATTATCGTGTCCTAAAATGGATGGATGATTTGTTCTATGCTCAGTTCCAATTCCATGTTGAGAAATGAAGTTATTGCATTTCGCCTGACAATTTTCATTGAACATCCTAGAATACTGTTGTTCTGCACTTTTCAACTGTTTTCTTGCTTATAAATCTTTCTATATTGAATGTCATTGTCATTAGGAAATGTGGGGGATGCATAAGTGATATTTCTTTAACCATAGTCTTGTGGATCATTTTGAAGAGTTTTTACGAAGCTTATTTTATAGGTTCTTTTTAGCTTATTCCAACAAATTTCTAGGTTAAACTTGTCAAAATTATGGCAATCTCATGTAACAAGAGATCATTAAATAATCACTTAATAAGTTTTTTGTTTAATTACACTCTTACCATTGTTAGAATACACTCAAAAATAGAGAAGTAAAAAGAGAAAAGAGAGAGAGAGAGAGAAAACAAGAGATGCTGAACAGAAAATCTTATTTTTCACTTCTGTATAACACATGTACAGATTCCTATTTTACAGTACACAATTATAATAGTTGGTTAACAGCTCACTGTCTAACTAATATATAATCACTGACTGACTGAACTAACTAAATTATCCACAACAATTATACGCCTACTTACCACTGTGATAGTTCTATGCACATAGAAATCATGATGGCCATTGCTACCGCTGTATAATTAACAGCTGGAGATGTATATCTATTCCTAAACTGGCTTTATCTCGAGCTTTAATTTTCATTCCATTTAGTTTGTTTTCTTATTTGTCAAATTTGCTGTTTGGAGCCTATTGCTCAGTTACGTTGTTTGTTCTACCTTTTAGTATATTCTATTATTCTCACTTTAATTAACCATTATATCTGCAGTCAGTTGGATTCACTGGTGCAGCTGGTTTCATTCTTGCTGCCCTGTGGTTTATCTCATTTGGCTTGGCGCTTGTGATACATCTATCATGTGGATGGTCTATTAACATAAAGGACAAAGGATCAAATCATTCACAAAGGATCTGTCTTATTCTGCTTATATCATTCACTTTTGCTGCTGCGTAAGTCTCTTTAACAACCCATTTTCATGATTGGTTACCAATTATTCAAAATCATATGCCATGGATGTTTTATTATGGTTCACTTTTCAGTGAAAAAATACCAGTTATGATGATAATTTGGTTATAATATCATGGTTGTGAAATTTGTAGATTTTATTTTTGCACGATACACGTGAAATTTCTGTACATTGCTTGCTCTATGTTTTATTCATCACAAATTCAAGTGTAGTTACTAACATACATGCCCTATTCTTTTAATTACACAGGACTGGATGTATCCTCCTTTCTGTTGGGCAGGATAAATTCCATGGTCAAGCCTTGGATACCCTTCATTATTTTGTCAATCAGTCAGATTATACAGTGCAAACTTTAAAAAATGTCACAGGGTATCTCTCCCTTGCAAAAACTATCAATGTCACTCGGATTCTTCTTCCATCTGATGTCATGGATGGTATTGACAAGCTGAATGTGGATCTGAATACGGCAGCAGACACACTTTCTGAGAAGACAAATGAAAATTCAGTTAAAATTCGAAGAGTATTCAATGATGTGTACGCAATCGTAAAACTGATTCTAGAAATTTATAGTCCATCCATGTATGATGCTAAACCATGTACATTTTGCAGGCGTCTAGCTTTGTATGTTGTAGCAGCTGTGATGCTTCTGTTGGCTCTTGTTGGGGGAGGTATTTGTTGATCATAAAATCTTGAATGAATTGAGCTAATTTTATATTTTGTTCCCAAGCTCTTGGTTATAACTGACTCTTATTGTTTTGCAGTCCTTTCTGTCCTTGGATATCAACACGCAATCCTTATGTAAGTTATGTTTGTCTATGGTCCATTGATATTACCTTTGTTTATCATGTCCCATATATGAAGGGTCCTTGTTATGTTCTTCTATCTTACTTTTCAAAATGTTTTGCAGATTTGTTATCACTGGATGGTTACTTGTTGCAACCACATTCATTCTTTGTGGAGTATTCATGATCCTTAATAAGTAAGTCATTATATCTAATAGATTTCAGTTTAACCTATTAACAACCAATTATCTTTATATTATGGAATTGCTGTATGTTCAATCAAAAGCTATCATTAACAACTAAACCTGATGAGTAAGTTATTCTATTACAGTGCAATTTCTGATACCTGTATGGCTATGGGAGAATGGGTAGCAAATCCACACACCGAATCTGCTCTTAGTAATGTCCTTCCGTGTGTTGATCAGAGAACCACAAACAAAACACTCTTCCAAAGTAAGCAAGTGGTCACCAACATTGCAAATGTTGTCAATGAGTTCATCTATACTGCTGCAAACGTAAATATAACACAAGGTAGCCCTGGCTACTACAATCAGTCTGGGCCGACAATGCCACCTTTATGCTACCCTTTTGACTCTCAGTTTCAAGAGCGTCAATGTACAGATCAAGAAGTTTCTTCCGCCAATGCCTCAATGGTAATTTTCTTCATCACCTGGTTATGCTTTGCCACTTGGTGGCTTTCTTTCCCCCTACCCTCCGTTAAAAAAAAAATTCATGTGGTTTTAAGCTTTGGATTCTCAGTAGAATGCTGAAGTGGTAAGATTAGATTGCTATGAACTCCATCTGGATCAACTAATTTGTTTAATGGAAAATGAAAACATTTTAGAGAACTTGTAACTATTTTGGTTATTTGCCATGGCCCCATAGGGATAAATCTGATAAAAAGTAGTATCGCAATTGTTCCTAATTTTTTTTTTTTTATCATGTTCTATTGTCTATTCTGCTAATGAAATACACAGAAACTCATTTAGTCCATTAATTAAACTTTTTCAGGTTTGGAAGAACTTTGAATGTGAGGTATCTGAATCTGGCATTTGCGCTACAGTTGGCAGGGTGACCCCAGAAATTTACTTGCAGATAGTAGCTGCAGTGAATGAAAGCTATGCATTAGAACATTACACCCCACCTTTACTTAGCCTTCAGAATTGCAATTTTGTCAGAGATGCATTCACAAAAATCACTTCAAGCTACTGTCCTCCATTAAATCACTACCTCAAGATTATCAATGTAGGGCTTGGCCTCGTTTCAGTTGGTGTTCTGCTCTGCCTTGTTCTCTGGATACTCTATGCAAACCGCCCCCGAAGGAGGGAAGTGTTTGAGAAGTCATCCTTGCCAGAAACCACCACACATTTACCCTTGTCAAATGCAAATAGTGAAGTATAGATTGTATTGTACAATAAAAATCAGTTGATAAAGTAGAGTGTATTGTTTTACAGTTCCTACTATGTATCGGGAAGAAACAAAGGTGCTGCGAAGCTGCATCTGAGTTTGAAGAGAATAGCCAAAGCTAGTGTACTGGAACATTTTGTTCATGTAAAGAAAGCAATTTAAGAAGTGTGATAGGCAAATTGGTTTCACTGGTACCACACCTCTTATTCAACCATTTTAAACTTGTGAATAATCATTTGCACGAGAAAAAGAAGAAAATTAAAAGTAAAGTCAATCAAACTCTAATAAAAAAAATTAATTTGTACTAGTTGTACACTTCAACCTTTAATTTATTCTGCTACTCTTTTTTTTTTTTTTTCAGAAAGTGTTTATTGAGTTCTCCAAATAGATGTATAGTATTATTATCTTTGTGTAGCTAGGTATGTCCAAAAAAGAATCTTCCAATGTTTCTGTACAGTACTTTTAATAGTATTTTACATTTCCCAATAATGTCGTATTATTCTCTCACTAAAAATCTAACATTTTCCTTCACCAAGAAATTCATTAAAACTTCTCTAATAATCCTTCCAACATACTTAATTCTTCTTAATTTTAATTTATATATTTGGTTAACAACTATACAGAATATTTTAGTTAAAAAAAACGTACTCAAATTTAAAATACATTAAAAAAGTAATATACATGAGAATCAGTATAAATTTTTAATGACATAAAAAAACACAAAATAAGATATTATTTTCAAATATGTTATTCTTGTATCCAAATATTCAGACATGTTTTGCTTAGTCTATTTGAAGACGATGCATCTCTTTATTAGAAGATGTGTTTTTTTCTTTCTCTTCGTGTGAAAAATTACCTTTTTTCATAAATTAGAATTATGTTATGTATAAACTGTAAAAGTTATCTCAATTAATTTACGTATAAATTATTTTTAATTTACGTATAAATTAATTTTAATTTATATACTTTTGTACTATAAAAAATTAAAATGTGTTAGAATATTTATTGTTAATGTGTGATATGAACTGAAAATATTTGGTCAATGTTTATTCAGTGGAGAAGTCAAAAAAAAAAAAAATGAAAGCATGACACTGACGAGAGTATCTAATGAAAGCGTGAGCATACCAAATCCCTGTTTCAACGTCACACGCATGGAAAACGAAATTCGAGTCTCTACAAAGAACAACCACTGAAGTGGACGGTAGCGTGACTGAAAATTTTACACCGCCTCAATATTCAGAAGGATCAAACTGGTTTTCCTCATCATCAACATTAAGCGCGTTCTCATGAAGTGCGTTGCCTTGTGCCGCTAGAACATCGCTAACGCCATGAACCACCACCCTGTCGTTGAAGAAGACGTCGGGAAAGAACACCGGAACTCCGTTTAGAATCAAAACGCCGTCAGATCTGGTGATGTTGATGGCGAATCCCTCTAAAAACGTCGACAACTCCGATCCGTCGGCGAAATTCACGAGATCATTCCACAGAAGCCGGCATGGCACGACGTGGCGGCGGAAGAACGAAGGATACTCGCCGATATCGCCGATGCGGTTCATCACTACGTCGTCCGCCGGAGCGAACACCGTGATTCCGCTTTGCTCCACCACACCGGAGAGCTGCATTCCGAGAAACGAAGCCACGGCGGAGTATCCACCGGTTTTCAGGGTTTGGATAGCTTGGTCGAAGGAATCGGAGGCGCCAGCGGTGTGGTTCTTAGCCGAACACGAGGAATTGGAATCAGAACTAGGCCTTCGACTGTTGAACTGAAAGTTAGGGTCGAAGAACCTATGGATTCCGTAGACTAACAGAAAACCGTCGTCGTAGATTGGAGATTCAGTGAGTTTGATGTTGTTGATGGAGGTTACACGGTCGGAGGATGCGGTAGTGACGGTGAGAGACTGGCCGGGGAGCATAGTCGGGATCCTGGCACCGGCGGTGAGGAGGCGGAGACTGGACGGGGTGAGCGGAAGTGGGGAGAGATGGAATCGGAGGAGGTCGAGGGACGGCTGGCCAGATTTCTTGAAGGCGGAATCGGAAGCAGCGAAGACAGTGGCGGAAGGAGACTGCTCTAGCAGGGTTTCGGCAACGATTTCGAGTGTTAGAGCCATAGAAACAAACCCTGAATCGGAGAGAACGTCGGCGGCGTCGAATACGGCTTCTCGCGGAAGAGCACGGGAGAGAGAGAAGAAGAAGAACGAGAGAATGATGAGGAGGGGCGCGAGCGAGGAAGCCATTGATGAACCTCGAGATTTGGCGGGATTTCGAAAACTTAAACGTGGCGTTCTACTATTGGAGTAGTTACAGAGATCGTTATTCGTTTCCCCTAAAAGGACGGAAACACCCCTTCTTTTCAATGAAATACTATCATTTTCGTTTAAAACAAAAAAGTTGCACATTTCTCATAATCTAAACAAAGTTCATTGAGTATTTATTTCTTGGAATAAATTATATTTAAAGAATTTATCTTACATCGCAGGTGCACGTTTTAAAGAAGTGCTTGGATCTGCTAGGCCATTGGGCTGACCCTTTAAGCGAAATTGGGCTAACCGTTGTCTAGGCCTAAATGAATTGGGCCAATCTAGGAGGATTACTTTCCCGATCCAAGCGATCAATTACCCCATCAATTCTACAACTACAAAATCACCATAAATAGTAATTTTATTTTTCTAGATAAATCCAAAAAAAAAATTAAAATCTAGAATAGCACCTTCATCACATATACAAAATCGTTAGTAATTGTTCCACTTCTATATATAGTTTCATTCACGAGGAATATTTTAGATCATCATATGCTAAAAGCCAGTGTTGCAGTAAATAGAAATAACAAAACCACGATACACAATCATAACTCTAAATTAACGAGCCATTTTTAGTTTCATTTTTCCTTCAATAATGGAGACACAAAAGTTTGAATTTATAAACCAAATTAACAAATCTACTATCTCATAACTTGACAATATTCCAATAAACAAACACGTATAGTTTTTTACCATGTTGGCTTTTCGTCTTTTGACTAAAATTTTTCTAAATAAGTCAAATGAGTTCCATGAGACAGCATCTTTGATATCAGTTTGGTCGTTCACCTACACAATAATTCGAATCTGATTCATCATTCGTACGCATAAGATTTGCATAGTCCTCCATTATCACATAATGGAGCAGGAACAAGAAGAAGCACATAGAATAATAAAAATATAAAGAGAGGGTGAGTTTATGTACTAAATGGGATACATTGACATTATGCATGCATAAAGTCCATACCCTAGACTTTGTTCAACCAAACCAGTCAAACATCATAATTGCCGTGGGTTAACCTAATGTTGTGTTCTTATGATAATTATAATGGTGACGTTCTTGAATTCAAGAGTCAATGTTGTTAACTGTCACTTGATTCAACTACCTTAGACAATTGCATGCATTGATCTCATTATTAAAATCCTTCTATATTCAATGTTGTTTAATGGAACTTCAAATAATTAAGACGTAATGGTGTTTTTTTTAAGTGGGTTTTCTTTTAAGGAAAAGGAACCAAAACATTAAAAGCAGCTTCAAGGGAAAGTTTAACCAAAATTTATCTACCTAAGATGTTTTGTTGGAAATCATAAGTGATAAAACCTATTCGCACATTTTAATGAAACATTCTTAAAACGTTTTTTTATTTTTTGGTTTTTTACTATATCAAGATACTTTCACTTTCACTTTCATAAACCTTTACATAAGCATAATTAATAAAAGAAAAATATTCATATTTTTATTATTTTTGCTTAATGGGTTTGGTGATAGAGGAAAATGATATCTTTGACAGAATATATATTATATAAAATGAAAACTGTCTCAAGTAAACGGAAATTAAGTATCCTGCGTTGTATGCGTGTCAACAAATGTCTGGTTTCTTCTTTTTCTTTTTAAGTTGTTTTTTTTTTTGTTTACAACTAATCATCTATTCAATTTTTGTCTATGCATGAATATATATACACTTGAGTTTAATAAACATCTCTCTGCATTTTTATTTAGAGTCTCTCTCTAATGAAACTTTTGAAACCAACTTTTATGCAATTTTACAATACAAATCTTTTACTTCAACAAAGTGGAAAAGATTGAAAGAGAAGAAGAAGAATAAATGGTTAATTGTTTGTTTGTTTATGCTGAAAGTGAAAGAAAGAATCTATTCCTACCAAAGCCAAGAGAAAAAGAAAAAAAAATAATACAAGTTATAGAAAAAAAAATTGTGTAAAAATTTAACATTTTTTAAAATTATTGAAAGAAAAATAAAATTATGGACTAAGTATGCAAGTTTAAAGAGTTAATTAAATAAAAAAATAAACAATCATTGCATAAATGATAGAAAAATTATACATTATATTATTTTGTTGTTTTTGACTTCTTAATTTATGTATATGCTATGTTGAAATAGATTGAGTTTTTGTTAAAAGAAAGTACATAGCATTTTTCTTCAAACTTTGTTGATTGAGTTATTTTTCTATTTAATTACTTTCAAAAGTGAGAAATATATCTTAGTAGGTGAAATCTAATTATTAATTAAGATAATTATCATGGAAATCATAATTAGAGTATGTACAAATATAACACATTTAAAAAATGAATAAAATTTAATATCAAGTTTTTAAATCAATTGTTATAATTGTATTTTCCTTAAAATCATATTGTTTTAAAACTATATTTTTACACAAATTAAGATCTAATTTTCAAACTGTATAAACCTTAGCAATTAAAAATAATAAGTTTATTTTTTTAAAATAAAAATTTGTAAATAATCATGTGCTGTGTTGATAATGTGAGATAGTAGATTGACACTGTGTACTTCAAATCTCCAGATAACTCGTTTGTGTTGCCAAAGTTGTGAGTAAATAAAAAATATAATCGTGAAAATAAATTATAAATTTATTTTATTTTATTTTTAAAGTTTATCCAGCTAACACATTTTCTACTTAAGTGAATATGTTATGCCACTTCAATTTTAAATTAATTTATTAAATTTTATTTAAAAAATAATTTTATAGATACTTATGTTTTATCATATTTTTATTTATATTTTACTATAAATAATTTAATTATTGTAATAATATAATATTTTAACATAAAAAATTAATTAAAAATTTCACATATTTTGATTTATATATATATATATATATATTAAATAAAAAATTATAAATAAAAAATAACAAAAATGAAAAATAAAAAAACTATAAATTATTTATAATAATAAACATGTATTAGTTTGTATTAATTTTGTATTCTAAACGTTAATAAATAGGTTGTATCAAATAACAAAAAAACTACAATCACAATAATGAAGAAAAAAACATATTTATGAATAAATATTATTATATATATGATGAATATAATAATGTTTTAAATTAAAAAAAAACATATTTATGAATATATATTATATATATGATGAATATTTTAGAATATAAATTAAATTTAGTAATTTTTAAAATTTTAAATATGATGAATATTTAAAAATGTTTTTTATTTTAAAAATTTAAATATGAAAAGATAATAATAACAAAATAAATAATTAATTGATTTTTATTATTAAAAAATTAAAAGTAAATTTTGAAAAATAAAAATTGAGAAATTATTTCTGACTATTAAAAAATTTAGAAAAAATATTATAAGATATTTTTTCATTTATTTCTATTTTTTTTTATCAAGTGGATAAAATTTAAGAAACTTTTCTTGTTATAGATCAATTTCACTACAACCATTTATAAACTACTCATTTTTGTTTAAGTTATAAGAATTAAATATCATTACCCATTCTATAAAATAAAAGAAAATTATATATAAATACAAGTCATATTTCATTTTATATCGAGTTTAAAAATATATGTTATGTAAAATATAATATTTTTTATTTATTTTTACCTGACAATAAAGATTAATACCTTTTTAGTTGTTAAAATTAAAATATTTATTTATATTCATAAATAAATTAAATATAAATTTTAGTAACTATTTTTATGTCTATTTATTTTATAATTTTAATTTTGGTTAGATATTTTGATAATTATTTTGATTATTATTCAGTTAGGACACGTTGATGGCACACTGAGCCCATGGGTGAGGTAGTTAGTTAGAGAAAGGACGAAGGAGAGAGAATTTGGGGTAAAAAAAGAGAGGAAGAAGCAAAAGAAAATCACATTAACAATAATAAGAAAGCAAGAGTTGAATCATATTCATGGCGGTCCCAACCTCTTCTCTCACAATCAACATTCATTCTTATATATAACAACACCCTTCACAAAACACAACCAAACCAGGAAAATTAGCATCTGTCATTGTATTTGCCTTTGCACATCAACCGCACTCAATCTCTTGCTTCATTCCCAAACCTCTGTTTCCCTCAAGTTTGTAGAAAGAGAACTTTTCCCCCCTTTTTTTATCAGCAGTTCTTTGCAAAGAAATGGAAAAAGGTTTGAGAAAGCTTTCTTAGCTTCAACAAAATGCGATCCCCTTCTTGTAAGATTCCCACTTCCTTTCCACCCTTCCTTTTCAATTCTGATGCTTTTTTTCTCTTTTTAAGTCATTCTATGAGTAAAGGTGCTCGCTTTTTGTTCTCTTGTTAAGTTTTTTTCATCTGGGTATGTCTACTATTTCCCCCTTTAACCTTTTCTCGGTACTTTTCTTTTCTCTGTAATGTTTCTGCACTTGTTTGGACTTAATGGGGGTTCTGGGGGTGCACCCTCTTTTTAAGTTGCCTTGTTTCTTACTGTAAATGCAAATTCCTTGTTTTCTGAGACAGAATTTTGAAATTAATTGATTCAGTTTCAATTGTCACTTCTATTGATGTTTGTAACAGTTTTGTGAGATTCAATTAACTCTGTTTTTTTTTTTTTTTTCAAAAAAAAAAAAATTAAAATTTTTGTTGTGGATGGGGTGTATTTGTTCCACTTTTGGACCTTTGTGTTTATGATATTGACCCCCTGTTTCAACAAGCATTATGTGGGGTCCAGCTAACTGGGAATATCTGCATGAAGATAAAATTCCTCAATTTTATGAGCACCTAAACGGAAAAATTGACCTTTTCTAAATATGCTTCTCGATATTGCTAACATGCGTTTTTTTGTTTCTTTACTTGCATGTGGGTTTCATTTCCAGAATTTCTGAAGGATAGTTACTTGGTCTTGAGGTTGGTTTAGACACACAGAATCTATAATTTCTTTTGGAGTGTAGTGGTCAATTGGGGTATTAAAGATGGGGGATCACTTTGAGTTACTGGTCGATCGATTGCTTACTGAATCCACATTAGAAGCTGCACTTGAAAGCAGGAATAAGGCTATGTTGGCTGCATCCTCAGCAGTGAATGGTGCGAATATTGATCTCAATTTTATGAAAGTTGGTGTGGATGATATAAAATTTCCAGGGAAGCTTGTAGAATGCAGGATATGTCATGATGATGATGAAGATACCAATATGGAGACACCCTGCTCCTGTCGTGGTAGTTTGAAGGTTGGTTTATTTACTAGTAGATTCATAATCCTATGTTTTTATAGGTGAAAGTGATTGAGTCTTTTAATTCGTGTTGCTATCATTTGTAACGTGAATTCATGATATCTGCGGTTTAAAATTTAATGGAAAACCAAATCTGTTTTGATGGACACAAATTTAGTGATTTTGATTTGTTTATTATTTATGACACTAAAAACTATTTGTGTGTTTGTAATTCAGTCACATGGTTGCATTTGTAGTGGTGATAATAATTATCGTTTTAACACGTCAGTTACCATGCTACACATAGAAGACCTCCCTTTCTCCCTATATATAACCAAAGGATTTTTGCTGAAATGCCAGGAACAAAGATATTTTGACTAGAGCATGCTGTGTTTGTTTGACTCTGCACTTTTTATTAGTTGCAGATATACGAACTGCTCATGTTTATCTAACTATAACCAGTGGTTGGTATGATCGTAACTCATAAGGAGTAATTTTTGGGTATAGTGATCAAATTTTTATTCTATCTGCCTAAGTTAAGGCTTAAAACATTGTACACTTCTATTGATTTTTTGCAGTACGCTCACCGCAGATGTATACAACGATGGTGTAATGAGAAGGGTGACACAACCTGTGAGATATGCCACCAGGTAAACTTAAATTTGTTCTCATCCCTGATTCTCATACACTTTCTGCATACTTGGCATCATCTCAATTAGTTGGGTTTCATGTGTTGTTGTATGTCAAATGTTTCACCTGATTTTGGTTGATTCATTATTTTCCGTATGTTGTAAATTCAAGCAATTCAAGGTTGACTAATGATTATACTGCTCTGGATGGTCTTTATATTTGTCATATCATTTTTAACCTGAATTGTTTATAATTGATGATTTTCCTGTATTGTAAATTTCAGCAATTCAAGCCTGGTTATACTGCTCCTCCACCCCTATTTCAGTTTGGACGTATTCCAATGAGTTTCAGGTAACGTCCATGCAATATTGTTATCTTTTCCCCCACAAGTTAATCTGTGAACCTTGTTTCTATCTTTTCATTTTCCAATGTTCTCCCACGATGTCTATGTCAGGGGGAATTGGGAGATTTCAAGAAGAGACTTGAATAGTACACATTTGGTTAGCATGGTCCCCACTGATCAAAACGTTACCACTTCTAACTACGATCAGTATTCAGCCTCTGCTACAGGAAGTTTGATTTGCTGTCGTTCAATTGCTGTTATTGTAACCTCTCTTGTCTCTCTTATGGATGTATGTCATTATGTGCTCACCCCTACTGGCTGTGACATTTCCAATCTTTGTTTATCTTGTGCAGTTCATGGTTCTTCTGATTTTGAGACACACACTTCCCCTTGTAATTAATGGAAATAAGGAGTATTCTTTCCCACTCTTTTTGGTACGTTTTGCATAACTCAACTAATAATGTTAGCAAGTGCTTAGTTCGTGCTTGTACTTACCAAGGTTTATTCAATTTAATGGAGTTTTGATAGCTGTTGTTATTTCGGACTGTGGGAGTTGTTCTTCCCATATACTTCATGGTTAGAGCAGTGGCATTAATCCAGCGCCATCGGAGACAGCATCGAGTAAGTCTCTACCATGGATCAACCTGTTGTCTCTTTCCCATGATTTACTATATCACATGAAGCATCTATTAACATATAATGAAGTCTCTTATTTTTTGCTTGTTGTAACTGTTAGGAGCATCTTAATTCCTTGGCCAGTTCATCGGACGATGAAAGCGAACAAGCAGATTTGCAGCCTCAGCCTCATGTCATACATGTACTGTAAAAATAATACCCTAGCCATTAGCCACTTGAAGTAATTGAAGGATGAAAAGCTCTTGGTTTAAGATGCAGCACTTTGTCTTCTGATTTTTTTCTCATGTAAATTAGATGGAGACAAGTTCCTTGAGAACCTGGAGTTTGCTTAGGATGGGGACACTGAAATTCAGATGTTTGTGGCTCATAAGACGCACTGCATGCCACTTGTATTACCTAGTTCCTCTGCTATAGCTACTCTTCAGGAAGTCTTGGCAACAGCAAGTTATACATTTACATTAATATTTCTGCTCACTGATTTGAATTGTTAAAATGTATAGACAGAAATTTATAATTATAGAGAAAATTATATGGGTAGATACAAAAAATGCATGGGTTGTATATATTGCAATCAAAGATTGGTAGGTACTTTTGGGGCATTTATTTCATTACAGAATTCTAGTTTAGTCTACTAGCATCTTGAGTTTCATGTTACTTGTTATGGTGTAATGGCCAGATCATTAGTTAATGAAAAGAATTGATAGAGATAAATAGTCAAAAGACCCTTCTTTTATTGATTTCCATGGTATGGTTGCATTGGAGTCCATCCTATTCTCCAAGCCAAACGAATGAACCCTTCTAGCACTACTGGTAATCTAAATTCTTCTAGCACTATTGATAATCTAATCTAAATTCAGTTACAGAAGGAGCAGTATGAAGGTGAAGCTTTAATTACATTTGGACGATAGGATGAAAGCCAAAACCAAAATACAGCACCAACCAATTGTCACTCTTGAACCAAAATTCAAAACAGTGTTTACCGTCGGTCAGTACTTCATAATTTTAATATTTTTTTTTCTCTCAATAGATTATACTAAAAAAAAAAACTTACAGGCTTACTAAAATACATAAATTTAATTTCTTAGAGGAAAAAAAATAGGCCATCAACGTTACATGAGTTATTGAAGTCGAACTTAATTTTTTTACTGAAGTAGTAACAAAGAAGCCTATAGAATCAAACTTAAAATCCTAGAATCAAACTTAAAATCTCACATGTGGCTGATCTTCTTGGGAGCTGAGGGGCCGTGGCCTCCAAAGTTTTGTAATTCTCATGTAATTTATGATTTTTGTCCCCCAAACATAATGAATATTTTATATATTTACTTGTATATTTATAATTTTATCCTCTCAGATCCTCCTCAATTTTGTAACTCTCATATAATTTATAATTTTGTTCCCTAAAACTTAATGATCATTTAATATATTTAAGTATATATCTAGAATTTTATCTTTTTACTCTTTCATCTTTTTTCTTCTTTTTATATTTATTTATTATTTATTAATAATATATTATTTGACCCCCAAGATCAATGGTCAAGATCCGCCACTCATTGACAATCATTCACAGACAAGTATGTGGTCGGAGATTTCAACTAGGAAATTATGTTATATATAACTAGAATAGAGCTAATAAAAAAAAAAAATTAACAGCAAGAAACTATATATAAAAAAAAAAACACTCAACCGAACCACGGAGACCTTTAAATGATAATCTATTTTAGACTGATTTCATTCAAATGTTTGGTCAATGTGAAACCAGACAATAAAGTAATTCATGCTTTGTAGCTCATACAGTTATTTTGATATTGAAAAAATAACCCCAAATTACAAAGCAAAAAATGTTACATGTCACGTGCTCCTTTCCCCCAAAAATCCTAGTTTGTATAGTAGATGTGAGCTAAAGGCAAAAAACAAAAGTGACAGAAAATGGCACATATCATTAATGGTCTCCAGAGCAAGAATTGTATTCTGTACATTCTATTAAGGAAGCATTCGAAAAAGGAATTTGGCAAGACTCTTTGGAGTGACTCATAAATTGGATGCCTATGAAAGCTGCTATGCACCTCATATGCCTTGAAGTGTACTTGTCTACGATTCCTACTTCCACGTTCTCCTAGGCCTGAAACAGTATGCAAACAAAAAGAAGTGATAAATAAGAATCTCAATAACTCAATAACACAATCTCTCTCTCCTTATACCCCCCTTTTAATTCTTCAGGACCCAGTCATTGGTTAATTTTGAAAGAGTTCATTACCCTCCTAATTATCAAATGTTCTTTAAAGAGTGTAGGTGGTGAAAATACTTCCGACTCTTTTGCTGCGAACGCCAGTAGCAAGCAAGTGCTCCAAAAGCACAGCTAGCAACAGCAATAGCCAATGCAGCTCCCACAGGCACTACAATTGCATTAGTTGCAACTATTAAATCTTCGACAGCTCCTTCGGCTCCATCATTTCCAACAATATTCCTGTTCTTGTCCAGAGACGCTAGTGTTTTACCGTAGTAATCAGTCAAAAACTTAAAGACCTCATCTTGGTTCCATTCAATTTTGTTGCTCTTTTGATCAAGGCCCAAGTAACAGGAACCGCAAAGCTGCTTTGGTGGCCAAATTGTCTTTGGGAAATTGGGGTCGGCGGTACCTAGAGATGCTTCTTCTTTCTTCAACCTTTCGTTCACCTTGTTGTGGGAACTCCACAACCAGAGAGCGAAATCGCGGGCAGTGTTGAAAGGACTAGAAACACTGAAAATTGAATTTAAAATTACAAGAGTACAACGAAGATGAATTTGAATGATAACTTTAGTAGTACTCAAATCCCTTACCTTGAACACATCTTGTAAAAATGTTGTCGACATTCCTCACATATGAAGAAGTTGTGAACAAAATCACAAATTGCGTTGAATGTAAACTGACTCTCTCCATCCTCGATCCTCACAGAGAGTGAATGCAGAAGAACCCATAAACCACAACTGGAATAACAGAGATAATAGAGGGTAACCATGAGTTGTAGAGATGGTTTTCAGAAAATATCTATAAATCGGATTAGTCATTGTGCCAGAAGAAGTACAATTTCTTTTGTTTGATTGTGATTGAACTATAATAATCAATTTTATATATTGTTGAATATAGGGAAAAACTGTATAGGGTTAATTTCCCTTATGTATTTACCACACATAGGGCAGTGTATTTATAATAAAGAAAGGTACTCCTCAAAAGAGTAACAGAATACAAATAGGGTAAATAAAAAGATATTATTTGATATTGTGATTAACAATATCTAATAATATCTCAACAATATCAAACAATATCAACTAATATCTAATCATATCTAACACTCCCCCTCAAGCTGGAGCATACAAATCGTATGTGCCTAGCTTGGTACAAAGATAATTCATCCTAGGTCCCCGTAAAGACTTAGTGAAAATATCTGCTAATTGATCACATGAGTTAACGAACTCAGTCTTGATGTCTCCAGACATAATCTTTTCCCGAATAAAATGGCAGTCAATCTCAATGTGTTTAGTCCTCTCATGAAAGACAGGATTAGAGCTTATATGGAGAGCAGACTGATTGTCACACACTAGTGTCATTTGAGTGACATCTCCAAATTGTAGCTTTTTAAGCAATTGCTTGAGCCAAATAAGTTCACAGGTAGCCGAGGCCATAGCTCTATACTCGCTTCGCACCTGGATCTTGCCACAACACTTTGTTTCTTACTTTTCCATGAGATCAAGTTACCACCAATGGAAACACAATACCCAGATGTAGATCTTCTATCGGAGGGAGATCCCGCCCAATCGACATCCGAATAGCAGTGCAACTCTTGTATGATTATGGGAGTCATACACCAAACCTTTTCCAGGAGACTTTTTGATGTACTTCAATATACGGATGACCGCATTCCAATGGTCTTGACAAGGAGAATTGAGGAATTGACTCACCACACCGATCGCAAAGGAAATGTCGGGACGAGTAACCGTAAGATAATTTAATTTTCCAACTAATCTTCTATACTGTTCAGGATCCGACATTGGCTCCCCTCGATTTGGCAAGAGTATGGTATTAGGATCCATGGGTGTGTCAACAGAGCTTTGAATTCATCAACCCAGTTTTCTCCAAAATATCCAATGCATACTTTCTTTGAGATATAACAATGCCATCGGTAGATTGTGCTACCTCAATACCCAAGAAATATCCGAGTTTGCCAAGATCTTTGGTTTGAAAATGGTGGCAAAGGTGTTGTTTCATCCGAGAGATGCCATGATGGTCACTACTCGTAAGAACAATGTCATCGACATACACTATCAAATAGATACATCCAAGCATTCGAGTGACTGGTAAAAGACTCGAGTGGTCTCGCCTCACTTCTAGTCATGCCAAATTGTTGAACAACGCCGCTAAATTTTCCAAACCAGGCCCTAGGAGACTGTTTTAGGCCATATAAAGATTTGCGAAGACGACATACCAATCCAGAAGACTCCCCCGAGCAACAAATCCGGAGGTTGCTCCATATAAATCTCTTCTTGCAAATCGCTATTCAAGAAAGCATTTTTGACATCCGAGTTGATAAAGAGGCCATTGTTGAATAGCAGCCATGGCAATGAATAAACGAACGAAGCCATCTTTGCCACTCGGAGAGAAAGTATCACCATAATCCAACCCAAAAATTTGGGTATAGCCTTTGGCTACAAGGCGAGCTTTGAGGCGATCAATAGTACCATCAGGACCAACCTTGATAGCGAAGACCCACCCGCAACCAACAACAGATTTTCCGGATGGTAATGGGACAAGCGTCCAGTGTTCCACTAGTCCGAAGAGCACCGAGTTCATCTAGCATGGCCCGACGCCAACCAGGGTGGGCTAAGGCTTCGAGAGACGATTTAGGAATAGACACAGAAGAAATAGACGAGAGACAGGTATAAAATGGTGAAGAAATTCGATGATAACTTAAAGCAGTATAATGTGGAGAAGGATTACGAGTAGAACGCGTACCTTTACGAAGGGCAATAGGAAGGTCGGACTACGTGGACTGAACCGGAGGAGGCAGAGTATTTGGCACTGGGAGTGAGTCATGTGGCGTCTGTTGTGGGCGAGGTCTCGCGACTATAAACCCGAAGGGGTGGTGGAGGAGGAGGGGCTAATGGTGGATGGTCCTCAACATAAGGATCAATGAGAACAGGAATGGGAACTGTAGCAGATGGAGACTCAAGCAGGTAGGGAAGGGTCCTTAAAGTAAAAGGAAAACTCATTGAAGGTGACATCTAGCAGACACAAAATAGCGATTAAGAGAAGGAGAAAAACACTTGTATCCTTTTTGGGATCGAGTAAATCCTAAGAAAACACATTTGTGTGATCGAGGAGATAACTTATCATGACCAGGATCAAAATTGTGGACAAAACAAGTAGACCCAAAAACCTTCGGAGGTAAAGGATGGAGAGTGTCATGAGGAAATAAAATAGAATGGGGAATTTTGTTATCTAAAACCGAAGAGGGCATACGATTAATAAGATAACAGGCAGTAAGAATAGCATCACCCCAAAAATGTTGAGGAACCTCACCATGAATTAAAAGAGTACGGGTTGTTTCAATAAGGTGTCTATTCTTGCGCTCAGCCACCCCATTTTGTTGAGGGGTATAAGCACAGGAAGTTTGATGAAGAATGCCATGAGAAGCCATAAATTGTTTAAACGAGTTTGAAAGATATTCACGGCCATTATCACTTCGAAAAGTTTGAATAGAGACACCAAATTGATTTTTAATTTCATGATAAAAGTTTTGGAATATAGAAAACAACTCGGAACGATTTTTCATTAAAAATAACCAAGTACAACGAGAGAAATCATCAATAAAAGTAACAAAATATTGAAAACCTAAATTAGACTTAACACGACTCGGGTCCCCAAATGTCGGAGTGAACTAAGGCAAAGGGGGATGAAGCACGCTGGGAAACACTACGAGAAAAGGAAGTACGACTATGTTTGCCTAACCGACAGGACTCACACACCAAATTGGACAACTCGGGATAAGCCGGGAACAAGTTGCCGTAATTTGCGCAGACCGGGGTGACCAAGCCGAGCATGAAGGAGAGAAGGAGACTCCATAACCGTGCCAACATGTGGAGAAGGTTGAAGATAATAAAGTCCATGTGACTCACATCCGGTGCCAATCACTCTTTGCGAGCTCCGGTCCCGTAGAGAAACGAAGTTTTGGTAAAAGAGATAACACAATCAAGAGATCGAGTTAGACTGGCTAATGGATAATAAGTTAAAGGGGGACCCGGGTACATACAAAACATTATCAATGGACAACGAGGGAAAAGAGTAATCTGTTCCAACACCATGAGCTAAAGTTGTAGACCCATTAGCCATTGTAACAGAGGGTAAATTATGAGAAGAAGTGAAAGAGGAAAATAAGGATTTGTTACCGAGTGATGTGATCGGTGGCGCTCGAGTCAAGAACCCAAGGGCCAATAGAAGAAGAGTGAGTCGACCGAAGCAAAAGATGTACCTGTGTGGGCAACGAAGTAGTGGAACTGGAGGGCTTTCGATCCTCATACCATTGAAGAAAATCATTGAAGATAGCAGATTTGTTCGAAGGTACAGACGAAGGAGGATCCACAGCAGAGGATTGTGCGGAAGAATCAGTCCGAGCAACTGCAGCAGATCGGCGAGGATAACCATGTAAAGCATAACATTTGTCAATTTTGTGGCCTAGTTTGCCACAATGGTCACACTTGACACGCCCTTTGCCCGGCTTGTGAGAGCGATTACGATCATCACGGTGAGAGGCCAAGGCGGATTGCTCGGACCCACCGGAGCTGACAGAGGTAACTTCAGAATTGGAAGTGGCAGCGGAAGATGCCATGGAGGAAGAGAGAGAAAAACCCTAAAACACCAAAGAGGTCCGATTGGAGCAGCGAGGACAGATCTAGAGAGAGGAGAAGGAGGCGACGCCGGCGCAAAGATCGGCGGCCTGAACGGCAGCGAGACGCGCCGCCACGCGCGGCGGAACGGGAGAAGGTGGCGCGGCTTCGGGAGGCGCGTGAGGGAGCGTGGCTGCTCCGATGACCGCGAAACTTCCACGGTGGAGGTCGCACGGAGGAGGCGAGCAAAACCCTGTGCTCGGCGGTCCGAACTGCTACTCTGGCGACGGCGGCGGCGGCGGACGGCGGTGGCGCGGCGACAGCTGCAGGTTCAGTGGCAGAGCCGAAAAAAAATCCCAAGAGACCTTAAGCTCTTGATACCATGTTGAATATAGGGAAAAACTGTATAGGGTTAATTTCCCTTATGTATTTACCACACATAGGGCAGTGTATTTATAATAAAGAAAGGTACTCCTCAAAAGAGTAACAGAATATAAATAGGGTAAATAAAAAGATATTATTTGATATTGTGATTAACAATATCTAATAATATCTCAACAATATCAAACAATATCAACTAATATCTAATCATATCTAACATATATTTATAATATTATACGTAACAAACAAACACAAAACCATAAAACATAAATTAAGGCAAAATTTTAAATTAGCATAAAATAACAATATTATATGTCCTATAGGATAACAAAATCAATAAAGAATATCAACCCATATGAAAAATCATATACATACCTTTGCACATGGCATTTTATTTGACTGAAAAATAGTTTGGTTGAATAAAAAAATACAGTTCAAACAAGTTTGTGACTGGTCAAATTAACAAGCTTGATTAAATGGACAAAACATCTGACAAATTGACCGGGTTTTCTCAAATCAACTGATGCAGTCTGGTTTGTAATTAATGGTTTGCAGTCAATGTATAATATAAGGTTACTTACATGAACAGAATAGTAATGTATTACCTGAAGCCTCTAGTATCATTCTTACTGCCGCGGCAGAACATCTGCAAAAAGAAAAGTCAAAATAGAAGAAAAGATCAGGAAAGTTCCAGACTAAGAAAATTCAAAATTCAATGAACGAAAGCAATATTATGAATTATAATAAAATAAAGATACTTGACATAATATGCGCGTATATTCATTTTCAAATCCCGCGGAATATAGGATTAGAGAAAGAAAATACAACAACTACGCCAAATAAATAATAACATTATAATAAGTTTTTATTTTTCTCACCTATTGCAAGATGACTATAAAGACAGATATCTGTTTTTTTTTTGTGTGGGGGTAATATTATAACCATAGGAACTTCCATATGGGAAAGTTTGACACAGAACTATCCATTGTTCAGTTACATAGTATATGCAGAGACGACTGCCAACATTTTCCGGGGTTTGCATTTTAAAAAGGTGAAAGTGTTCCACAAAGAAAAGCATAAGCATGCATTTTAAAGTCTAATAGTGTAGTTGGGGAGGGGTACGCATGTTTTCCACATTGGTCCCTCGCATCTGTTGAATATCAAAATGTTTTGGCCTTCTCAAGTTTTTTCAAGGAAATTTTCATTTTACACTTTGGTTAAATATTTTACCTACTTTGGGTCATTACTTTCCTTTTCATTTTAGAAGTTCCTAGATATACCTTTTTCTCTCTTCCTCCCAGTGTGGTGACCAGTACTGGATGACGATAGGAACAGAATTGGCAGTAGATTAACAGAGGAAATACTGAGAGCACACAATGCCTCATTGGAATTGAAAGAAATATTTTCTCAAAAATTATGCTTGTAGATACTTCTTAACAAGAAATAATTAGATCCAATCTCAGTAATAATTCAATTATAATTAACATAACATGGTAACTTCTAAAAAATATTAGAATATTCATCAATTACAGAAATGTCTAAAAGGTGTAATACAACTATTGAGATCCTACCCAGTATCCACGAGGCACATCTTTTCCACAAAACTTTAGGTTCCTAAGTGAACTCTTATCATCTTCCTGCTTAGTTGACCAAAAATCTGTTGGGTAGAGGTCATCAAAGCTCACAAGAAAATCAGCAGTACCCTTCCGGCATCTGAAAAGGAATCCAGAAATAAAAACATTGGCACTATATACTGAGCAGAGAAGAAAGGATCAGACAAATCAGTAAAAGCTTTATCTTACCTCCTAGAAGGATGGTGAGCTGCCAAAAGCTGAAGAAACTTAATGAGTGAAGCACGAGTTTCTCGTTTTATCATCTACCAAACATAGAGTATTTGTACTATCATCCAAAACATTTAGCACAAAAGACCAATCAAGGAAAATAAATAATCTACCTTGTGCTCTAAGATGATGTCAAAAGCTGTAGAAGTCGCCTCTTCTACATCATAGATAGCTCTGGCAATCTTTTCCAGTCATGCATAGCATGTACATCAATATCTTCAAATATAAAATGAAATCAAATCAAATATGTGGGTGTTGAAGAAAAGGACCTGTCCAGCGTCTGAGAAATTGGATGAAAGAAGCTCATTTTGAAATTTCTGATCATCCAGGCCAAATGAACTGCAACATTATAACATTGCACGTACAACTTCCATCAGATTTAAGCAAATTATATGATAACAATTTTCAGGCTCTATCAGAGTTAACCTCACAATTCTAGACTCTTGCATTTCAAACTTTCATTTTTCCATACTGCCTAGTGCCTAGTTTGTAGTCATTATTATATGTCTGCAGTGTTGATATTCCAAATTCACATCTGGGTCTAATATTCCTCTACCATCATCTGGCTTAAATAAAATATTTACCAACCATATCATAGCTATCAACAATAAATTCATCTATGCCTCATACCTGCCTAATTTCTTGTTGATCCAATTAAGTAACCGGTCAGCTGTGCGTGCATCATCAATCACAAGGATATCATTTTTCTCTTGTTTAGGCTCCCAACCACCACCAACAAATTTAGGAGGAGATCCCCAAAAGAGCATCGGATAATGACCAACAGAAAACTTATCACATAGCTTAGTATTTATCTGTGCTGCCAAAAAATTGAACAGAGAGGTACCATACACCAGGACATGTTCAGTATAAAGTATAAAGCAATAACCTTATTAAGAATGCAAGATAAGGTGACGCACCTTTGATGCACAATCTATCCTTGTCATTAATATGATCCCTGGATGCACTGCATCAGGTCCATTAAATAATCTGGCAACCTTTTCGTAGTGAGGCTGCATTAAAATTTAGTGAGATAACATGATGAGTTGAAATGTAATAGAAGAAAACAAAGTTAATTACAATTTATAGCAAATTAATACCTTATAATTCCTACATGCAGGGCACCTGACAAAGACGGGACAGAACAGAAATGAGAATTTTTGGTACTCATTTCATTTTTAAAGATGGAAGAGAAGGAATAAATAAAATGGTAAAAATTGATCCACATGCTTAAAATAATCCAATTATCTACCTATATGAAGATACATTTAAAGCTATAATTAAAAATGACTTTATGCTGGTTTGTAGAGCATCGTTATGTCACATGTTAGACTTGGTAACACTTCATCATAACCAGCTGAGCTAAAGAAATAGGCTGGCTTCACGACAACCCAACCATTTTTCCTATAGAGAAGTTAAACAAGAAAGTTTCTGAAAAAGTTGAGGTGCATATGCTAAGGTTATTTCTAAGATATAATAACATATTTTTGTCAGATTTCAAAGAGAGTTTTTGGAAAATAAGGTGTATTTCCTAGAATAATCTTTTATCAAACATGCACCAAATTGATTATAAATTTTTAACCAATGTGATTCATCTTATTTTCTTCTCCTAAAAGTGTTTGTTGAAAGGATTATTCAAAGAGGTCTGAAAGTGGAGGGAACAAAGTGAATGAAGCAAAAAATAACGACCATTTTAAAGTGGAAGACTTGATAATATACCACACTGTATGGCGCCTTTTTTAACCCTACACTACTCATAGCATCAATTGCCTTAACTAGACTATAAGTACCAAAGGAAAACACCGTCTCAGTGTAAAACCCAAATTTAACAAACCAATCAACTAAATTTTCAAAACCCCTTTCATTAATTTATCATAAATCCATCCCCTCACAACTGTTACTGCAGATCCAATTTTCAGATCAAATGCCATCCTCCCATCCCCCAAAACAAAAAACAAATGAAAAAAAAAAAACACCCTTGAAGTGAAATCCATAAAAACCCGAACTTTTTACCATCAAAAGAGATTTCACACGATTCCATGGCCAGAAACCCATAAAATACAGTAATTTAATAGAAACCGTAACGACTAACCATTTGGCAAAGAATTCAACAATGGCGAAAGTGGCAGGGGTATCCTTGAGAACAGCATCGAAATTCGTGGCGTTCAGTTCAACGGCATAATCGGGATGATCACCGCCGCTCTTGCCATTTTCCTTGACATCTCGAAGGATCGAACGGCGCGACGCGAAGGAAGAAGGCAAAGTCGCTGAACAGCACACAAAAAGTATGCACATAAACAGACCCAAATGTAAACACATCCCAGACATGGAAAACAGCTTGGATCACAGAGCAAAGAGAACTAGGGTTTTGATAAAAATTGAAGAGAGACGAGCTTTTAGAAGGTGGGGTGGAGAGAGAAATAGATCTGTTGTTACTACAACAGTTGCCTTTTTCGTTGCTGTCTATTGTGTGAGAGAGAGAAGAGACAAGAGAGAGAAGGGTTTAGTTGTGAGTAGTTGTGTATGTGAGATTGAATTTGATTGGTGTTGTTGGGAAGGGAAAGGTGAACCAGAAAAGGGTGAGAATTACGTTTCCATAAGCTTTGCTTCGGATCGGAGATGGTGGAAGCACTTCTCTCGACACCAAACCTTGAATCACTCCTGTTTCCTCTGTTACCTCTGTTACGTTGTATGTCACCAAACATCAAATATTTTGTAAGAATATCAGTAATTATTGTTAATATAAGGCTTAAATCCATTTTTTCCACAATTTTACGAAAATGTAATTTTAATTTCTATACAAACTTAATTAGAATTTAATCTTTCAATTTTTTAACGTTAAAAAATTTTAATTTATTGTTCATATATTATTTAACTATTTAAAAATATTATCATATTTAATGTTTTAAAAGCATATAACATTTTAAAAAAATGATAAATTAATATTTAACTAAAATTATTTCATTTTTTAAATATATTGAAATTTAATAGAGACTAAAATAATATACTTGTGAAACTACAGAAATCCAAAAAGAAAATTTAATGAATTTTTATTTAGTTTTGTTTTTTTTTTAACTTTTAAGAATAGTTCTAATAAACAATCTTCGATTTTTTTTAAAGAATACGAGTTTGAATGTCATTTATAAGAGAAACAGTTTGAATGTTTCATAACAAAATGGCTTGTGATAAAAAAAAATTAACAACATATTTTGAAATGATGTGTAAAAAGTAATATTATAAAATATTTCATTTTTAGATATGAAGACTTTCAGCTTGAAATGTTTACAATTTTGTTATTAATAAAAACTATAAAACATTATCTTATCTTTGATTATTTTAAAGAGAGAGAAGGAAAAACTATTTAAAACATTAAACAAACAAAATCTAAAAATTTAAGTAACAAATGTTTAACCTCATTCCATATTAAATATTTCCCTTTTTTATATTTCTTACTCTTAAAACAGTGAAATTATTGTGATATTAAATGATCACAGTAATTTATTTAGTCTTAATTTTTCTTTTAATAGAAAATACAATAATTTATCTTCGATTATTCAATATAATTATTACACAACATACTTTCCCAATTTAAATATTCTTCCACTTAAGATTTCTTTTAATTTTACTATTACAATATTAATATTGATTAACATATATATATATATATATATATATATATATATATTAAATTTTATCAGAAGTATAAAATGTTTGTTATAATTAATTAAATCAGTTAAACATAGATAGAATAAAAGTTTTAGATTGATTGTCAAGTCCTACTGTACTTTTTTTTCTTCTATATACATTTTTATACTATTTTCTTTTAGCAAGTTTTACTCATTTTTCAAGTTTTTATTTTTTAGAATGTTTCAACCATGAATTCTAACACAGGACAGGAGTTATATCATCATCACCTTGAAGCTTTTTCGCCCCTTAATCTTCACATGTATTATTTGTTTTTTCTCGTCTCAATTTCATACACACCTTCTTCAACAAAATTATGTGACTGTTATTCTTATTGTTCATAGCTACAATTTTGATTTTTAGACGTTGATAAAATCAAATAACATTTTGTTAAACAATAATAAAAATATATAAAAGCGTAATAATATAATATATTTTTTATTTAATATATATTAATATTTTTTTAATATTTATTGACAAATATTAAATAAATGATTAAATTTATAAATATAAAAATAAATATATTTAATAACTATTAAAGTAAAGGACTACAATTATTAGTATCTAAATAAATTATGATGTTTATTCTAATTACGGCATTTCATTGGTTAACAAAAATTCCATAGCGTAGACATAGCTGAAAAACATTTAAAAGAGTGTTTAAAAACTATATCCTAAATTTTTAAAAATATTAATTATTATTTTGTGATTAAAATTGATAACATATGAAGTTGGATAAAGGAAAAATGTTAGAAGAATACTTTAAAAAATTATATATTTAACAAAAAAATATATAGTATGGAAAACAGAAGTTCAAGTTCGATACACTGTTAGTTAGTTAGAATTTTTAAAATTTCATTTTAGAAGTAATTATTACAAAAATATTAATATAAAATAAAATTTAAAATAAATAATTCCTCTATATTTTGGATTTTAAGAAGATAAATAAAAAAAAGAAAAAAAGATGAAATAAAATAAAAAAATTCTTATTATTTGAAGATAAAAATGATTTTAAAAAAATAAATTTGACTTTTATAAATAATCATAAATTTATTTTATATATTTACTTTGAAGATAAATAATTTGTTTTTTTTTTAATATTTTATAATATATATGTGAATTAAAAATAAAACATTTGAGAGTAATAAAAAATAATATATATTTTTTATTATTCCTTTATACTTAGTAAGAAGAATGCCTACTATTTTTTTAAATGAACGCACATTACATAGACAAGTTGTCCGGTGAAGGTTGCCCTGTAAGATGGTCCAGCCCAATAAGTCATCCGATGAATTGGGCTGAGCTTTATGGCCTATGTATTGCCATTTATCTCCCCTAACATACCTACCGCAACATTTTGTTTTCCAACTCCCAACGCCAAGAAGGGTCGATCTCATCCACATCTTTATATTCTCAAATCAAATATCGAATATTCTATTTTCACCGCTTGGAAACACTTTCTTTATCCCAAATTTTCAAGCCCTAACATCCAACTTGGCAGGTGATATTTTCAAAGCGTCATCCAACCAAATAATTTTCGTCTTCTGTGGCTCCGGTACTTCAATTTTTCTCTCCTGTTCCCATTTCTGTTCAGATTTTTTATTTTTTCATTCTGACATGCTCTGAGTTCATAATTTTGACTTTGACCTGTTGTACGGATTTCATGGCTCTTGTGACGCTCTGTTTCATGAATTTCTAATGTTCGAATGGCATGAGTTGTTTCGACATGTTCGCAGTCTCTGATTTCTATAATATCGTAGAATTGAGTTTACCTAAACAAGGGTTTTCGCTGCAGTTCGAATCGGTGAAATTGGACTAAAAGGATCAATTCGTCATGAAGTTCCTGGAATGCGCTGCTTTGGATCGGTAATTGTAACTTGAAAGGGATTTGAATTGAATTATCGGATTTTGTTGCATAAATTTGGTGTGTAATTGATCCACATCAATAATAGTTTTTGTAAAAACATTTTCAGGCTTAACGATTTTTTGGATAACTTGAATCTGGGAGAACGTACTATCAAAGGATGCCTCGAAGCTTATAGTTGTAAGGAGTAACAAGTGAATTCTTAAACATTGTTCTTGGATTTGGTTGGCGGTAGTAATTAACAACTTTTTCCTCCATAGGCAAACATGCTGGAACGGATAAAAAACTCTCCATCAGTTTGGAGACTGAGGTAGATTGATGCCATAAATATTGCATCTCTCACTTTACTGTAAATTCTTCTCTATAAGCTATTTGGTGTTATGTAGATTTATGAAATACTTATTTCACAATGTTCTAAACTTGTTTTTTTTGTGCTAATAACATGCTTTCTAGTTTAGAGAATGTTTTGTTTCCGCATCAGTTAATTGCTAGAAAATATCAGATGTATCATTTGAAAAAAAAAAAAAAAGATGCCCGAACCCTCCACTCAATGCGTTTTTTTATTTTCTCTCTCTCTCTATATATATATATATATATATGTGTGTGTGTGCGTGTATTATATATATTATCTTATAGAAGTAATAGAAATAGAAATGTAAATCCATTTTTTTTTGTTTCTTGTATGGAAGAAAAGGATTTTTGAAGTTAAAATGACTTGGATGTTGGATCATGGAATTAAGTCCTTCAAATTCACTAATTATTATTTGAACCTTTTCAATTTCAGATTCTTGATTATCTTGGCAAATCATCTGACACTGATTCATCCTCACCGGATCAGACCTTATTAACCAGAACCAGGTGGCCTTTACTATCTAGATAGGTTCAGGAAAGTGAAAATCAGCTCTGAAGTCTCATTTAAATGTTTTCATTTCTTGTTCTTTTATTCCAGCCGAAAGACATTGGTTTACCTGGTTCTTACTCTGTATCACATGTATCCCGATTATGACTTCAGGTACCTCAGGATCTTATGATGCATCATATATATTTCTCTAGTATCTATCTATATATAGGATAAAAAAGAGGATTATGGGTAATGCTACTGTCAGCTTTGTTGGCGACATGGCAACCCACTATATAATCCTTTTTTTTTTTGCAATGGGAGTGTTGTCAAAAGGCTTGACAGACAGTTCAGAAAACTGTTGCTCTAGAAGCTGAGAGTTCAATTCTCTCCATTTCCCAAGTCTTTTGATCATCTAAGTGTTTGAACAGTTTTGCTTTAACTTTGTGATTATGCTGGAAAATGCTTTTGTTTTTCCTGTAATACCATACACGTATAATGGTTTTTAGTGCAGTTAAAGCTCACCAGTTTTTCTCAGAGGAATCATGGGACAGTTTTAAGCAGATTTTTGATGCCTACATGTGTGAAGCTTCAAAGGTTCCACTTTTAATATTTGTCTATGTCTTGTTTTAAGATTTATTTTATTATTTGTATTGCCCCTTAGATATTTGATATGCAGAAATCTTATAGGAATCTCAGTTGTTTTGGCATAAGTTCATTGGGTATATGTAATTTGGCATTATTTACAACTACTTTGGTTGGAGTCCCAGGTATTTGGTACGATTCCCAGCATTATTGATGACCTTGTTTGGTTTGACCAAATAACCTTGTGCGTCTTCAATTTCTAAAATTACTCTTAGGGTTTAGCAATGAAAGAAGAAGAGAGAAAATCAAATTGCATGATTTTGTATATATAATACGAAACAAGATACAAGGAACTAATTTAACCTTGTTTATATTAATTCTAGACTACTTAGTGGAAACCACTACTAAGAGATCATCTAACATATTCCAAAACATTGTAAGATACATAGTGATATTATGAGATTTTGAAAAGATTTCAAGACTCTTGAAGTGTAAAATATTTTCCATTTCTAGATTCAGGAATTCTTTGCATGTCCCTTAAGGTGTTTGATACCTGAAATACCACGTACTTCTTTGATTATTAGGCTTAAGATGCTTGGATATATAATTTGTGTGTATTTACTATTCATGATTCCTATATTTTGTGTAACATCATAGGTTCATAAAATGTTTGATGACCTTGTTTGGGCTTCTTTGATTATTAGGCTCAAGATGCTTGGATATATAATTTGTGTGTATTTACTATTCATAATTCCTATATTTTGTATAACATCACAGGTGCATAAAATGTTTGATGACCTTGTTTGGGCCTTTTTGATTATTAGGCTTAAGATGCTTGGATATATAATTTGTGTGTTTATTATTCATGATTCCTATATTTTGTATAACATCATAGGTTCATAAAATGTTTGATGACCTTGTGTTGTTGAACCTAATAGTCTTATGCAACTTTCAGTATCTAAAAATATTAGTAGGGTTTTAGTAGGAAAGGGGAAAAGAGAGAAATAAAGTATTTGAGTAATATGCTGTTTTGTATAAAGTTTTATGCAAAATATCAAGTGCTGACCTATTTATATTAATATTTCATTCTTAATCTTAGTTGAAAGAAACAGATATGATGAGACTAGGAAACCACTTCTAAGACATTTTCAAAGATACTATAAAACACTATTTTTTGGAGGTCCATGGACGTGGTCAACTAGTGTTCCAAGGTGTTGTCTCAGATTAATCCAGCTCGGTTGGGATTATGATACTTTAAATCTTACTAAGTTTTAAGCTTGTTACAAATTATTACATGAAAGAAAATAATAAAGATATCAATTGAGTTCCACAAAACATGAATGGAAATGCAACACTGGGGATTCTAGAGATAGGTATTGCAGGAAAGGCTCAAGCGATCACTAGCCAGAACAATCAGTTGGAACATTGCATGGAAAAGTAGGGAGAGAAGTTGGAATGATTATCAGCTGGAATTTCTTTGCAATCTATTATATGCAATAAGAATTAAAACTTCCCCAAGATTATCAAGAATTGCATTTTGAAAGAACTGTAATGATCATCTAGAGGAATAGAAGCCATTCCTTCCTAGAAATGACTTATCAGGGGGGGCAAGAAAGATTTGGGAAAATGATGGCTGACTGGAAGAGAATAAAATGACAAACACTAGCAGTGAAACAATGCCAAAATCCTGCGAAGAAATCATTCAAACCGATGTTTTAAAACTCAGACCAATGAGTGAGTCGGTAAGGCAAGGGTCACTGCCAGACTGGTGAGTCATTAGTTGATCTGCATGAACCGGTTAATAATATGATAAATATGTATATATGATATATATTATATTTGTCTATTAGTAACAATCAGTTAAGTTGGCATAGTGGAGAAGCTTCCTTTATGTCTACTCGGAGGTGTTGATTTTGAGTCTTGGTGCTTTAAATTTTGTGTTTTTGTTGAATTGTTAACTCTGCAGCTTTGGAATGTGAATGGCAAGATGTCCAAGACTACACATTGAACTCAGACATGATAGACTGCTCCCACCCACTAAGTCCATCGAGTCTGCTGCTGTTTAGGGTTTCGACCAACTGAGCTTGCTCTGGTGTCCTTTAGACTCTCTGAAATTCAACAAGTCTTCACCAACGATGCATTTTGAAGAAAATTGGGTTGGTTGGATCTGGCTTGACGATGTCGTTATTCATTTCCAATCTTAATTATTTACTTGAATCGGCATAGCATAAACTAAACTATAGGTCACCACAACAAAGAGGAACTGCCAAAGACAACTGAAAACAACCTAAACCTGATTGAAGTAGGAAGTACACACTAGACCTAAGTGTTCAAAATGGCAAAACACTACCCATGGCAGTCAATCAGTTACTGGAATGTGGCACATGGCAGCAACAGGGGTTGAACCAGACTGGAGACAAGTAGGGAAAATGATTGAAGGTGGCAGTGGCTGCCAGAAAATGAACAGAAAATACCATTAAGGGTTTAAGTTGAATGTGCAGAACTAGCATTTGACGCATCCTTTTTTCCCCTGTTGTGACACTATGGGAACTAGCTTGAGTTCAGGACCACAAATATCATGGGGAGTTTGATGACAATAGATGGAGCACCTTAGTGTAGGTCAGGGGTAGCAATTGTAGAAATAGAGAAAATGGCAAGCATAAAGTTTAGGTAGGGATGGTGAGATAGAGAATAAAGACTTCTCATAGTATGATTCTTAGTAGAGCATACAGTTATTTGATAATCTTAATCAAAATCCGGAAAAAAATGGTGACATACGAAACCAATTTCAAGAGATCATCCATAGGAGAATTTTAAACATACTCAGAGCAATATTCTGGTCAGTATTTGTAAGTTGTAACCATCCACATTTATTTAATATTTATTTTTAAATTTAAGATCTTCTATGGTTATGCTGTTACACATGTTATGGTCTTACCTGTGTGGTTCTCTACTAAGACTAGATTGACTATACTAGAAGTAAAACTTCTCCATGATTAGGCATCTTAAGATTCTCACAGATTGGAAACAAGGCATGATGTAATCCCACATAATGAAAACATCTTTAGGTGGATTGAGATGTTTGAGATTGGCAATAATGCAGAGTGATATATTCTACATATCTCATTCTGACTGACTCTCCTGTTGCAAAAATTATGTTACTTGATAATAATGATTAGTTTTCTTGCAGTGATTTTCTTAACTTAGGTTTTGGTTGACTTGTCTATGCAGGAATGGGCTGAAACTGTTGGTGGTACTTCTTTGCTGGACACCTTGTTCAAGGCCCTTGATGAGGTATGGTTTCTTTAAAAAGTGAATATAAGTGATATCAAGATGCACTTCCGTGATGTCTTGTGATGCAGGTCATGAAGTTAGTGGATTGTGAAATTTATGGTTATGTACCTGATTCCGAGGCAGACCCATTACTAGAGAGTGGAGCAATGTAAATTTATGTTTGCCACAGTGCATAAAAGTTAAAATTGTTATTACCATCATTCATTTTATTGGTAGATTATTCCAATAATTATCTTTTCCATTTGCTACAGATGGTCCTTCAATTTCTTGTTTTATAATCGAAAGCTTAAGCGGATTGTAACATTTCGATTCAGTTGTTTTAGGTGAGTTGGAAATTTCATAATCTCTGTTTCGTTATATACTTTTGGTTGCATCTACGTTCCCTAACAGAATTCTGTTTGTGGCAGTAACTTGATTGCTGACGGATTGCTTGTTGATGAAATACACAACGAGTACGATGAAGAAATATTTACTGACATGGATATATGAGTCACTTCTACCTCCATTAGTTAGCATATGAAGACTTCTGATCCTCCCATGTTTAGTTCTGTAATATATGATGGTTTCAGATGTGTAGTTCTGTAAATCGAAGATTGTTTCTGTGGGTCGAGTCGTAGGTATAGCATATGTATCTTCTAGTATGCATATAGTAGATGTAACATGTGCATATTTATCCAGCGCACATTGTAGGTTCGGATCTGTATCTTCCTCCACTGTTAGGCCGCACCTCTGGTGTAATAATAGCAAAAACATATTTATTTTAAATTGGGGCAAACAGTATTGGATATTAGTTTACATTCCTCTGAAAATGATGGTTCTGTGCCTTCGTAACAGTATTGGATATTATCCTTGTTTTTCCCTTTAGATTATTTAATGGATTACTATCGTAATGCATTTAAAATCCGGGTATATATTGGGTTCAGAGTTCTTTTTCATGTGTGCATTATAAAATGGTGACATTATGAGAAGGATGAAAAAAAAAAAAGTTGATGACATGATTTTGTGCATCGTACATTTCATTTATGTAGTAATGTTTTATGACATTGCAATATGCACAGGATTGTTATCCCCTCTAAGGTTATACTTGAATTAAAATTTGAAGTATATTAGTAAATTTTAATCAATGATAACAAATTCCAACGTGAGGCTTTAAGAATAACATTACGTAGGAGTTTTGAAACTTCAACCTAACATGGTTTTGAGTGAACTTAGACAGTGAAAAAGCATATAATGCTAACTAGCGAAGTACCACTTCGATATAGTCGAGTGATAAATAAAATAACCTTCTCATCATTCTGTCTCCCAAATCTTGCTCATTGCTCTGTTTTAATAACTGTCACTTTATGAAACTATTATTCATCAAAACAATCACAATGTTCTATATTTTGTCGATTTAATATTGGTTTAATGTTTAGTTACATTAATTAGCTTAAGTGGAGGAAAAAAAAAAAGCAACGCACATTTAACAAAGATATATTTGTTGTCACCTTTTACAAGACCATTTGAAAATAACAAGGAAACTTTCATCCTTATTTTTGCCCTATTCTTCTTTCCATGATTTGAAGTCCCTACCACTTCGATACATCAAAGAACAAGATACGATTGTGAATTTGTCCAGGAATCTGGTGGAGAGGGACATTATTGGGTGACACTAGGTGTTCTTGTGCCAACTAATCAGACTTAAACTGAATCTTATAGGAGGATTGTGCCTTGCTCTAAATGGAATTGGCATGGTTAGTGGTTCCTGTCACTAGTGCAATTTTTTCCAATTTTAACTTCCCATATAATCGAAAATTTTATTAATTGCCACGACTGTTGCCAGGGATTACATGGTAGCCACCTAGGATTTTAAATAGCATCCAGTAGCCCATCATTTCGATGACCATTAACAGTTTGCGTGATAAAAAAGACATTGATAAGTTAACCAAAAGCTAGAAAAGCTTAGCTAAATTATCAACTTGTTTTATCATTTTTGAACTGTACGGTAACATTAATTATTGAACTGTTTATTAAATACAAATATTATAGTTAATAAATTTAGACTATGATTTACTCTTCCAATACCCCATTTTCATAAATATTAGAGCCTAAGACTGTGTTTAGTAAAATGTATTCAAAAGAAGACATTTATTTCCATTCTTAATCTATGCGTAAAAATCTTACTGCAGATCATTTCGAAGGGAGAAAATAGGTAATTTGGACACACTTTACAAAAAATTTACCGCAGATAATTTTTTATTTTTTTTAAATGCTATTAGTATACAAAATCAACTATTATTATTCTTTGATATATAAAACACAAATAATCATAATATTTAATATACATAGATAAGATAAATAAATCATAAAAAAATATAAAATTTCTTATAAAAAGAACTAATATAATTTCTTCTGAAATAAATTTTATAATAATAACATGAAGAAGGAACTGATAAATGTTTTCTTTTATAAATAGGGATTATATGAGATTGAAGTTGTAATAAAATATTTAAGGAATCGATTAGGTTATCTATATTATATTACTAAATGCATTACGCTAAATGCAAGTAATGATTAAATAAATAACATATTTAAAGATGGTTGTTGGTTTGTGTCTGCGTGTATCTTCTTCATTGTATGACTGTAACTAGAGTTATATACAAATATTATTACATCTTTCTTTTTTGAAATTGATGGCAAAAGTGGAACACTAGGACTAAAAATAACCAACATCTTTTTATAAAATATTCTCTTTTATTACTGTATTTACCACCATGATGTTCCTTTTTAACTCGCCTATGAGTCTTTCACTTTTGCCATGTTGGAACTTAAAAGTCCAACACCAATTATTCTTCAAAAGAGCCCTTATTGCTTTAATAATCCATTGTTGTTTTATACACCAAACTCCTTGGTCTCATTCTCTTGATAAGAAAATTTTCCAATACATTGTTTGCATATTTGTGTTTATACACCAAAATAGCCCTTATTGCTTTAACATTTGAGACACATGGATTCATTTTTGAAGTGAGAGAGCTATGACAATTAGGTGCTAATGAATCAAAGTTCAAATAAACAATGAGATAAAATAACACTTTTAAATTTTGAACTAAGGTGTCAAGATAAATAAAATAACTAGCCTTCCACATATGGTTAAAAATAAGATAATTTATTTTGTATTTTAATAATTTTTTCTTTTTTTTTTCATCTATAAATTCTTGTAAATCATTGGTATATTAGAGCGTGTAATGAAAATTTTCAATCTTTATTTTTGGTTGATCCTTTTATCCTTATTTTTTTTCGGTCTTCGATTGCTCTGTTTCACATTAGATTGTAGTTTATGTGTTTTGTTGCATTTTTCTATAGTTCACGATTGATGCTCGATATATTATTAAAACATTACTTTTTTTATTTTTTAGTTTCTTTTCACCTTTGATATTATTTTGTTACTCAATTGACGATTAGCTGAGTTGATATTATTATTCGATATAAAAAACTCGATCACTACTTTTTAAATATGGTATCAGAGTTCTTCATTTGAAGATTTATGTTGTGTACTATGACTATCTCTTGAGTTCTTATCTTTCTTTTCTTGAGTATCATGAAAAAGCTAACTGATTCACGAAATATATATTCAATGCCTCTTACATATTCTTCTTCTACTAGTAGCTTCCTGTATATTTATCCAAATGAAAATCCTTCGATAAGCTTGGTTTCTCCTGTTCTTGATGCAAGAAATTATCATTTTTAAAGCAGATCGATGCTCACTAAATTGAGCAAAAGAACAAGATTGAATTCGTTGATAGTTCAACACCAAAACCTACAAAAGACAATCCTTCTTACATATACTAGTGACGGGATAATAACATGGTAGTATCATGGATTATTCATTTTGTTTCTTTAACTATTCAACAAAGTATATTATGGATGGACAAAGCTAAAGAGATATGAAATGATCTAAGGTCTCGATATTTTTAAGGTAATCTATTCCGAATTTTTTATCTTCAATTTGAAGATTTTTCTACCAAACATGGTGATCTCTCAATTATTGAGTTTTTCACTAAACTCTGAATAATTTAGGATAAACTTGAAAATTTTCGATCTAATCCCACATGTACTTGTCTATCGAAATGTTTTTGCATTGTTCTTCCTATAATTCAACAACATAAAAGAGAAGATCAAGCTATACAATTCTTAATAGGCTTAAATGAGTAGTATAACAATGTCATATCCCATGTTCTTCTCATGGATCCTATATCCCCTCTATAAAAAATATTTTCTTATTTTGTTCAATAGGAAAAAAAAAATTCTTTAAAGCAATATTATGAATCTTGATCATAAGATTAACAATATGTTATCGAGCAGCCCTACCTATAAGTTTTGTGGACGGACTGGTCACACAGAGAATGTTTGTTATAGAAAACACGATTTCCTAACAACCAAGATAAAAAAAAGGCAACAAAAAGATTTACACTAATTGCGGGAAGAGTGGTCACACAGTGCATATCTACTATAATGAGAAAAGTATGAACAATGTTGTCTCAGAAAATCAAGATGTCAAATTAACTCAACATCAATTTCAAAGTTTCATGATATTTTTACAACAATCCAACCTTGAAGGAGATTCTAAAGTCACACAGAACAACAACACTAGCACTACAAACATACTTGTCTCCTAGAATAATAATTAGAGCAAAGGTAATAATTCATCTATCTATCATTAATTTTTGCAATAATCAGAGCATGACATAAACTAATGGATTATTGATTATGGGGTTACTGATCATGTATCCTTTTCTTTGTCAAATTTCATCTCTTATGAATCAATTAAGCCCATAATCATAAATCTCCCTAATAGTGATCACGTTTATGCTACTCATAAAGGGAGTGTTAAAATTGATAACAAAATTCTCCTCACATATGTCTTATTCATATCTACATTTTTCTATAATATAATCTCTGTATCAAAACTTATGCTTGATCAAAATTATAAACTATCTTTTTATAATAATTCTTGTATTATACAGGATGCAAGAAACAAGAAGATTAATATAGTTGATATTAAAGATGGTCTGTATATTCTTAAAAAACAAACATATTATGTGAAGGTTAATACTGAAATTAACAATAATGATTGCAACATTGATATTTGACATGTTAGATTAGGTCATATATCAAATGAAAGGATGAACTTGATGAAAAAAACATTACCTTTATATATACAATTATAAGAATTTGGTTTGCAAAACGTGTCACGTTGCTATACAAAAAAAACTTCATTTCCCTGATAATCATTCTTATGCTAATGAATGTTTTGATTTGATTCATATTGATACATGAGGACATCAATATGATGCACGATTGTTGATGAACACTTTCATGCATGGACATCAATATTTTTTTACTATTGTTGATGAACACACCTGATTTACATGAATTTTTTTTTATGAAACTTAAATATGATGCAGGTAGTTATATTACCAATTTTATAACATATGTTGAAAATCAATTTCACAAAATCATCAAGTGTATTAGGACGGATAATGGACCAGAATTTAACATGAAAGATTATTATAATCACAAAGGGATTATACATCGGACCACTTGCATCAAGACTCCTGAACAAAATGGGATAAATGAGAGAAAACATTAACATCATTAATGTTACTCAAGCACTCATATCTCAATCCAAATTAACTCAATAATTCTGGTGTTATGTTGTCTTGCATGTTGTTCATCTAATTAATTGCATTCTACACCTTATCTTGGTAATATCTATCCTTTTGAAAATTTTTACACAAAATCATATAATATTTCTGACCTCAAGGTATTTGGATGTCTTGTTTACATTATCACTATTACTGTCTATAAGAAGAAACTCAATCCAAGAGTTTATTGATCTTGATTATTTCTAAGTTTTAAAAGTATCACAAAAGGATATTTGATTTTAATATAAAAACACGGGATATAACTGTATCAAGGAATGTAATTTTTATGAAAAATATTTTTCATATCTTAAAATTTTATAAGAAAACCACATTATACCCCTTAGAGAGAGCTTCAATGTAAATATTGACTATTAAGAAATCGAAGACATCAAAATCGAGGACAGAAGAGCTCACACTCGATCAATCGATATTGTATAAAGTACTGAACTGATTCGATCTATCGATACAACACAAGAATGTGTCTCGATCAACTGATATTGCATAGGACGCTACATCAATTCAAAATGACACAAGTATATCTTCTGTTCCTATCTTGAGAAGAACCACTCGCATCAAAAATCCTCTAACCCTTGTAAAATATTATTATGTTACCTCTTTAAAAGGTCTGAAATAACCTATCAAAAATTTCATTTCCTATAATAAACTATCACCTACCTTCAAATAGGTTATACTTAACATCGACGCTACCAAAAACCCTAAAACTTAAGAAGAATCCTGCAAGCACGAAACTATGTCAGGAGAAATTTCTGCTTTACAAAATAATAATACTTGGACTCTCACTTCACTTCCTCATAGTAAAACTCTCATTGAGTGTAAATGGGTATATAAAATCAAACATAAAATGATGAAACCATAGATAGATATAAAACTAGAACTTTAGCAAAAGGGTACATCCGATTTGAAAGGCTCGATTTCTTCGATACTTTCTCCCCTGTTGTTAAACTCACCACTATCATAATGTTTTTATCTGTGACTGCCATAAAAGGTTGACATCTAAAACAATTAAATGTCAACAACACCTTCTTGCATGTATATTTACATGAATATGTTTATATGAGTATCCCTTTTGTTATGGTTGGTGACATTAAGAATCAAGTATGTAAATTACACAAATCTTTCTATGAATTACGATAAGCAAGTAAACAATGATATGAAAAACTCTCTAGCTTCCTTTTATCATATAGATACATACATTCTTCAGCAGATCACTCCTTATTTTTAAATCGAAAAGATAATAGTAAAATTATAATCTTATTCTATATAGATGATATCATCTTAGCTAGAGAAGATCTTGCAGAAATAAATAGAACTATCGATTTATTAAATGAAACCTTTAAAATTAAAAACCTTGGAAATTTAACACACTTCCTTAATTTTGAAGTTACAAGAAATAAAACAAGAATTCATTAGAGTCAACGTAAATATACTCTTGATCTTCTCAAAGACACAAGTATGTTATGTCATGCTCCTATAAAACTCCTATGAATCATTTTACAAAGATTACCTCTATAGAAAGAATATCTCTAGAAGACATCACGTCTTATCGAAGACTCATAGAAAGACTCATCTATCTAACTAACACAAGACCTGATGATATTACTCAAGATGTTCATCGTCTTAGTCAACATATTTATGCTCCTACTACTAATCATCATCAAGCTACTTTAAAAATCCTTCGATATCTTAAAAGCTCTCCGAAAAAGAGGTATATTTCTTTCTGCTAATAGTGATATACAAATCAAAACCTATAGTGATTTAAATTGAGCTAGTTGTCTTGAAACTCGAAAATCTACCACTGACTAACTATATTACTTATCTTAATAATCCTCCCATATCTTGGAAATCAAAGAAATAACAAATTGTTTTGAAGAGTTCATTTGAAGCTGAATATCGTACTCTTGCTGCTACTGTTTGTGAGCTATAATGACTCACATATCTCCTAATCTAAAGATAAATTACATTACCAACTTTATTATATTGCAACAATAAATTTGTCATTCAAATTGCCTCAAATCAAGTCTTTTATGAAAGAACCAAACACATAGAGATTGTCACATTATCAGAGAGAATGTTAACATAGGTTCAATAAAAAAAAAAAACTTTTTTCTATTTCTTCCAACATGCAAATCACATATATTTTAACAAAGGCTTTGTCACCTCGTACTTTCAAATATTTAGTTTCCAAGCTAGGAACAATCGATATCTATTCATAGCTTGAGAGGGGATGCTAAAAATAAGATAATTTATTTTTTATTTTTATCAATTTTTTTCTTTTTCTTCTCATCTATAAATTCTTGTAAACCATTAGAATATTAAAATGTGTAATGAAAATTTCCAGACTTTAATTCTCATTGATCCTTTTATCTTCTTCTTTTTTTCAATCTTGGATGCTCAATTTAATATTAAATTGTAATTTCTATATTTTATTAAGTTTTTGAATGCTTGATAAGCTTTCAAAACATTGATTATTTGATTTTTTATAATTTTTTGATATTTTTTATTATTATTTAATATAAAACACACTTTATCAATATTTTTTTAATACATATTTATTACTTTATTCCATACTTTTGCATTACCTAAACAAAAGTGACATTGACATGTAGCACGCATGAAACACAATAGTACTCATGTGATGCTATAAATTTATATATATCAGATCTCATCTCAGTGATCTGTTTCTGTGCAGGATCTTAGCCTATAATGCATAGCATGGATCGACATGTTGCCAAGTGTGAGTTCTCCCAACAACACACATGTCCTACTACTTTCTTCTTTTCTTTCTTAATTTCTTATTTTAATATTTAATCAAAGGCACGTCATGCTGGTACCTGAAAGAGAATCATACATTTTTCACATAAATTATTGTTCTTTGTGGCTACTTTCACTAAATATTAGTGCCAATCAGGTTTATTTTCGGGGCAGGTACATGACCCTTTATAAATCAAATGAATCAAAAGAGAAACTCCATTCAACCTTATGGCTTCCTCTCCATCATCTTTCTGCACCTTAAACCATGCTTTTAGTTGCCATAAACCCATCAGATACCCAAAAATAAGATGCCAAAGGTTTAGTGACAATGGTAATAGAGAATAAGAACATCAAGTATGTGCACTAGAAAATGACTTTAATGTACTCATGATGAATAGCTTAGATTCTTTAGTTAGTTGCACAAGAAATCCTTGAAGTAACTGTTTGTGTCTTTCTATTCTTTGATTTCAGCCTTTTCACTGTTCCACAAACATGGTTGCAGCTGTTACAATTATTGTAGTATAATGCTGTTTTTGATTAATTTTCAACCATATGTTACTGTTTTTGTTGGCAGGGAAGCGAGCAAACAATGTTGATGCCAACCTGAGAATCCTAAGGGAAAGAATTGATCAAGTGAGAAAGAGAGAGAGATTGATAAATACACTTGGATGGAATTACAAGCATGGTTATGACCAAAAGTATAAGAGAGATTCTATGATATCAGAATCTGCTGAGATTATAGGTTTGTCATGTGGTGCAATTGGCCTTGTCTTTCTCTTTGGTTCTCTTAGCATCTTCCTTTTGTCCCTCCTTCATTATATGTGCATATGATATTTCTAATGAACCAAGTCATCTTGTGAATAGGTTCTAGTTATTTGGATTCTGGGGTAAAATCACATATAATAATGTATTTGAAACAATTATATGTGCGGTTTGAACAAGGTTTTCTGGTGATGGTTAAGTTAAGCCCAAGCATTTATACAATATTTTGAGATGCTATATGTACAAAGGTTGTGTTCTTGTTTGGTTAAGACCAAGAAACATTTTTCTATTTAAGGAGGTAGCAAGATTGAGAATTTTTGAATAACCATGTGGATATCTATAAACTTTTTGTGGATAACTTTTTGTTGGAGAGTTTGATTATTGATTGCTTTTAATTCTCTTTATAGTTTTCTTTTTCCCAATTTGACTGGGTTGGAACCTAATTTGTTAAAGAGATTGAGATTTTATTTTATTTTTTTAGTGCAAGTGGCATAAACAAGTTGAAAAAATTAAGCGAAATGTTTGGAATTCAAATTTGGAGTTTAAGAAATTTTAATGATTACGTTAGTTTCATTTATTTTCAAAAGTTCTAATAACTTCAAACTTTTGGTTTAACTTATTTAAACCTACGCTGAAAATCAATTTTATAAAAATGTAATATTTGATAAATAAAATTCATATTAAAAGACAATTTTTTTTTACGCTAAGTAATGATATTTTTTAGATATACTTTATTAATAATATACTTTTTTTATTATTTAAAGTCAACATTTGTTATATACATGATTATTCATAAGCTTTTAGTAGGTCTATAAAGTATGCGAACTTATATAAAAAATCTAAAATTCTTTGAACTGAAATAAGTATTTTTTTTATTGAATATTTAATGAATCAATATAAAAGATTATACAATTAACACAAATCATTTATAACTGTGTCTCGAGAAATAAAGACAAAACCTAAATTTTTTTAGTTTTTCAATTTTTGTTGAAGGTTTATATTTACATACCAATTTTATATTATCTTTTATTTTAAATAAATTCTTATATATATTATTATTATTAAAATATAATTTATATTTATAAATTAACTTATATTTTAATGATAATAATAATAATAATACATAAAAAACTTATTTCAAATAATTTGTGAGTGTATAATATTAAATAATTTTAAAAGATATTTTAATTTTAAAATTAAATTGAGATTCTATATATTTTAAGGATCAAATTAATAATTCTATTTAAAAACTTTATATCAATTCACACATTCTATTATTTTAAAAAAACTCTCTTTGATAACATACAAATTTAAGATATGAATTTATGAATGGGAGTATTTACGTGAATAAAACATATTTCAAAGTAAAAAGAAAAATTAGTTTGAGTTTACCTTTACATTAATCAATTTTGTCTATTAAATGTAAATCGAGGTAATTTTTTTATACCATAAATGAGAATATTATATTATATAATTTTTAAGAATAAGATTGTATTAAAATTTTAAAATAGATAATATATCCATTTTATTATACAGATATTATAATAAATTCTAATCGTGATTTTTATTCCTATAAATAATATATATTAATCCCATAAAATGAATCAAATTAATTAATAAAATTTGAACTTAAAGATTTTTTTTTTCAGTGTAATAGAAATCTTTTGTTGAATTTTTCAAATAATTTATAAGGAATAATAACATCAATCAGATCTTTTGTTGAATTTTTCAGATAATTTATAAAAAATAATAACATCAATGAGACATAAGTCTAATTCACATAAAAATTGATATTACTCTTAATTTAAAATTTTAAACATAAAAATATGACTCATATTTTTTTATATATTATTTAAATTTTTTATTCTTACTTCATCCAAAAAAAATTATTTATTTAGATTACCCAATACCTCATTATATATAACTTTTTTATTGGTTAAGACAATACTATTTTAGTAAAAAATTACCTTTATTATCACACTTCTCTAACAATAGAATAGAGTTTTATCAATATTGTTTAATAGTAAAAGTAACTTAAATTAGAGGGTCACTAAAGATGGGAAAACCAAATTATTAATTTAATATTTGTAATTTGTAATTAGTCGTGGGCCAGATTGGTGATTAAGGTGTAATTAAGAAAAAGATGAAGATTGAAGGAATTATGGTTCGCAAATTGTTGATAAGCCATAAGTCAAAAATGACATGTACCCACCTTAGCTGGCACATACCCCACAACCAATCCTATCATGCCAAATACATCTAATTTTATATATTAATCAACAAGTTAAATTACTCACTTCAACAAGCTTTATTTCTCATAAATAAAATATACTTAAAACTTATCTCTGTTCATCTTTTTATACAAGATAAGAGTCAAGAAAAAATAATTAATATTTATGAAATAAAAAATATTAAATAACGACATTTTTTGTTATAATTAGAGAGATTAAATAAATAGTTAGTAGATATATTATGTGCGATCGATGTGATTCTTACTTAATAGTCAAGGTTTATTAATATTAGTGATAGCTAAATAAAATATATTTAATAATAAACATTTAAAAATATATGGTGTATTTTTATTTCTAAGATAAAAAAATAATTTGGCTTTGATTTTCTTGTTCTTTATTATTTGTGAGTTGATTGGTAAAGGTGACCCAAATGCCAGGTGTCATGTTCTGCCTCTCTACTAAAAAAACTTGTCCAAATGAGTGGAGTTTTCAAATTCTTTAGGAGTCAATTAATAATTTTTTTTAATTAATACATCCAAAATATCTTCATCAAATTTTGTGAAAATTTTTACTCTTAATTCGTGACGATGCAAGTTGTTAAAATTCTTCCCTTATTCCCAACCATTGTTGCTTCATCTTCATTCATTTGAGGTGACAAAATTTCAAATGCATTTAACTAATCCAACTTTCAAAATGATAGTTGCATGGTTTTCTGTTCTTATAAAACGGAATACTAACCTTTTTAGTTGTTGGATGGTTCATTAATGAGTTATATATTTTTTATTTATTTGAATAAAAAAAATAAATTTTAAATATAATTTTAAATAATAATATTAAAAAAAAATAATCATATATGAAGTAGATTAAAAAAAATTATAATGATCACAAGTATTTATACAAACATCCTACTGAAAATGAAAATGAAAATGAAGTATCTTGGAAATAAAAAATAAATATCTAAACATGATTAATAAATAGAATGTCCGTAAATATGAACCAAGTTTACTTGCAAATTTCAATATGCTTTGATGAATCTTAAATTTTTGTTACTTGTTTCACTACTGTTGAAATCTTTAAATGTATTTAGTAAACATATGTATTTTAAATAATACGTATAATACATATATTGTATCTTTTATTTATTAATATTCTCTAAAAAAATGATAAATAATATATATATATATATATATATATATATATATTATTTAACTGTTAATAAATATCATTTAACAAGTTTAATTCATTTCAAGATTTAAAAAAACTCTTTTCTAGTTACAGTTCTCTTTTAATTCATGATGTTATTAATGACATTAATAAGATGTTTATTTGGTAGGGTTTATGATTTAAAATTTATTTATTATTAAAATTATTTTTAGATTTTAACCTTTATAATTGTATATAAAATTTATCCATTTTCGTTTTCTTTGTATAATTTTTTTTTTTAACTTTGGACATTATTATTTAAAAATATTTAATATTGTCAATCGTAAATGACGTGACGTTATGTATATTATTTGAAGTTTTGATAGATAAATTTTATTTTTGAACATAAATTTAAAGTTATATTAATTATTTTTTTTCCGATTACATTTATATTTTTGAAAATTAAAAAAAGATACATGATAAATTTATACTATATATGTTCAAATTTGTAAAAAAATAATAAATATAAAAATAACGGTTGAAATCCCATCATAAAATTAATTTACGTAAAATAAATGAATAAATATTTAAATTATATCCCATTATATGAGAAAGACAGAGTGTGAGTTCTAATAAAAACACAAACAAATAAGAATAGAATAAAAGCTGCCTTTTATTTATAGTGATAACGGTTACATAAGATCACGACAACAGTTTCATAATATTTGATAATCAGTAGACGAAAATATTGCACTATTTGGTAGCCTTTTCTGCAGCATGAAGAGCAGTGAAGTATTCCTTAGGGTTGCTCTCAAATGCTGATCGTGAAATCTGAGTTCCATATGAACCACCGCCAGGGGCTTTCATACATCCCTCCGACCCACCGCCACTTGGCCCTTTGCTTGACTTTCCACCACCACTTGGCCCTTTGCTTGACTTTCCACCACCACTGGCACCGGCACCACCACCACCATTACCACCCATGTTTCAACTGATCCCAACTTATGAAATGCTACTCTTTAGTTGGTTTAGTTAGGGAATGCTTAGGAAATGGATGTGAAAACAACTTCGAGTTCGTTACCTATTTATACAAAATAAATATAATATTTTTATGTTGATTAGAAATATAAATAAATTATAATAATACATAATTAACATATAAATTAATCTTATAAATCCGTCTTTTAAGATGGAGTCAAATATCTATTTATTTCTAATACATAGTTATCCTAAAATTCTTGCTCTTTATTTAATGATGGAAGAATTCTTGAATTGATGCATGTAACGAGACAACTATTGAATGTTATATATGATGAAATCGAGGAAGTACTATTAATTTATAACTTAGTCAATTTTATTTTATTTTTTAAATTTATTTTTTGGTTTATTTATCTAAAAAATAAATATTTACTATTTCTAATTAATAATTAAGATATATATATATATATATATATATATATATATATATATATATATATATATATATATATATATATATGTTTACCTTTCGATTAGTTATCATGCTAAAATTGTTTGTCGGATTATATTTCCTTGAAAAGAATGTATTTAATTATTGTAATCCTAATACTACTCCCATATTATTTATTTTATTTTATTTTATTATTATTGAAAAAATTTAGGAATTTTATTGAGTATCCTAAAACTTTTCTACAGTAAAATACTTGGATTTTTATTTTAATTTATAATCAAATGCAAATTGTTTTCTTGTTGGTGAGAAAATAGGAAAAAAATCATTAAAATCCGTTCTTATTTGCACCTCATTCTATACAACGTAAAAAGTAATTATTTAAATAAAGATATATTAATAAAATCAGGTGAAAAGTTATCAAGAACAAAAAATATCATGACTTTAGGAGTAACTCTAACTAAATAAAAAGGAAAATATGTTTCTGTTTTTAATATTTTCAATCAAACATTAATTGTCAAATTTCTTAAATTTAGTTTATTTTTGTATAAATTTATCATGTCCTATTTCAAGTTAATTAGGGGAAACTATTTTCTCCTTCTTTTACATGTTAGTGTTGTGCTCCGTTAAGTAGATGAGAATTAAGAAGCCTTGTGATGTAAAGATAGTCCCTCTAAAACATTTTTTGCAGTTAACTATTAGCTCTTAACAAAATTCACCAATTATAACCATACAATTCTACAGAGTACAGAAGCTATAACATGATTCTCTTCTCTCTAAAACATTCCTTTTTTATTTTATTTTTTTTGCAGTTCACTATTAGTTCTTGAACAAAGAAACTACTTGTATTTAGAAATCTTTAGAAAGAAACTATTTCAAACTAGCCTCTTATTAAGTATAAATGGAAGCAAAAGTCACAAAAATATTGGATGTCATTTAGTGCTAAGAAAGATCATAAAGTTAAGCTTAACAACAAATCTACTTATTTTGTAGTTTTATTTCATTCTTAAAATTTGCAATTGGGTATTTAATGTTTATAATTGAGACAGGTGAGAAAGAAATAAGCAGAGTTGGGTGAGTCTGTGTTTTACGTAGAACTCTGATGTAGCTAAAATAAGTTTCTTTACTCTGTTACGGGTGAGAGAATATGCCTTGCTGCTTATGTCACCAAGGGATACGGTTGAGATAGGAATATGTGGAACTTGATCAAGATTCTATTCGCATGAACCTGATATCACAAGTGGAAAAATAGTATTCTATGACGAGTTTTTATCACGGTCGTAGTCCACGCGTCATAGTATGTAGCGCGGTGGTAATTTTGTAATAAAATCATAAACTTTTTATGTCAGATAAAACTTAACCGACATGGTAAGTGGAAAGTTCACTTTATATGTCGGTTAAATTTTACTCGACATAGAAAGTGTATTTGATGACGGGTGTTAGGGCAACCGACATAGTATCCTCTTTTTCATGCCTGCTGCAACACTCCATTTCATCACTTCACCCATAGCAGAGCTCCACGTTCTCTCTGTCTCTTCTACGAACGTCATCGCCTTTATACATTTCTCCCCATCCAGCTCTGCTCGTCACGCCACCTGCCAACTCTATATGTCGTGCCGCCTCGCTACTGTCGTTGGTGTCCGTCGCCTGTGTACGTTTCTCCCCACCCAGCTCTGCACGTCACGCCACCTGCCACCTCTGTAGGTCTTCAAGAGGTAAGTTTTCGTGCTTGCTTTAGCCATTGTAGGTTTACAGTTTTGAATCTGGTATGTAATAATGCTGTCAAGAGATGGAAGTTCACGGGTGCCTTTAGCTAATTTAGAGACGTAATGTAAGTAGTTTAGTCATTTGAATGTGTTTCTGTAGGCATTCTTTCGTGATTTTGATTTTGAAAATTAGATTTGTATTATAATGTAGTTATTTCATTTTAAGTGAAAACTATCATCGCTTATGTTCACCCTAATGTGAGACAATACAGTTAGCCTTGATTGGAGTCAGTCATGAAATGATCCATTGTAGGACAGAACTTCCTATTGAAAGATTAAAATATCCAATCACGTGACATCGCAATTTCAACAAAACATGTTGGATGTTATCATCCTCAAACTATACTTATATGTTGTATTATGTGACAGAAGGTAACAATGAATCGGAGTTGGATCAATTATAGACGAACAACAAATGAATATGAGAGTGGAGTAGAACAATTCCTTGAATTTGCTAAGATGAATGTTCCGGATAATGATGGAAGATTCTATTGCCCGTGTGTTAACTGCTTGAATGAGCGAAGATTACCGACTGAAGTTATTCGGGAACATGTTCTTTGTGATGAATGATGAATTAGTATTTGATATACCAGAGACACCATGTTTCTCTTCAAATATGCCAAACTTGAGTGTTAATGTAGAAATAGATGATGTGCATGCCACATGTTATGACCATATGGAAGGATTTTGGGAGAATGTTCCAACTTGATAATGTATGCACTTTTTTTAATGTATTATTTTTTAATGTATGCACTTTTTTGTTTATCTTCAGTCATATTGTCTAAACTAATAACTATTATTTTTCAATTATGTAAATGGTTTCTAAATCTGAAATGTTTCAATATGTACGAATTTACAGGCTCATCTCCATTGAAGATTGAAGTGTTAGACGATATTAGAGAGCAGTGGGCTTCTTTCCTTTTAAGTATTCAATCTTCATAGCAAATTTGACTTGTAACAATTTTGATTGAATTGATTTAAGTTAGCAAATTTACATTCGTTTAAGTAAATGAACTGTCTGGAACTGAGATACATATATTGATTTCAATATGTTTCATATATGTACATATCTGTCTGAAACTATATATATATGAACTGTGCATATTTGTCTGTACAAGTGTTTTGGAACTATGAATATTTGTCTAGAACTATGATGAATAGGCAGGTATACTCGAAGAAAGGTAGGATCTGTGAAGAAAATGCACGTTCTGTAAAAAAAAATAACACTTTCTACGTCGATTATGTCATTAACCGACGTAGAAAGTTTAACATTATATGTCGGTTATAAGCACAACCGACATTGATATCTCATACAATCACGGTTACTGTTAACCGATATAGATACTGGGGTTATAAAAAGTTAGAAAGGAAGACTTTCTATGTCGGTTATCAGTGTTAACCGACATAGAAAGTAAGACTTTCTACGTCGGTTCCCTGACTAACCGACGTAGAAAGTCTTACTTTCTATGACCCCTGTATTTATGTCGTCACTTTAACCGACGTAGAAAACTCATTTTAACCAACGTAAAAAGTCTTTTGTGCAGTAGTGTATCTTGCTTATGGCTCTTGGATTCAGTAATTCAAAATTACATTACACTACATAAGAAGAATATTACCTAATACATGGATCTCGTGATTAATATTTGTTTAGAGTTTGAGAATTTGAGGTGCTAGGCATACATAGGTGTGAAAGAGAAACTTTCAACATGAAAAAAAAGAGTCAACTAATCTTCTCCTCAGTATTAAGGTATTTTTTTAAGTTACTACTAATAATTGGAAATTTTTTATAATAACAAATGAGTCGTTTATATAAAAAAAATACTATACAATATTTAATTTAAAATTATTAGATTATTTTTCATTTATAAATTAATAATTTTTTAATTTTTATCTAATTTGAGATATCAAATTTAAGTTTCTTCCTAATGTTTTTAGATTTATATTTTATTTGTATTATCTCTTTCTAATAAATCTTTTTTAAAATTAAAAGACTCATCAATTAGAGATTGAGGGAGGGGATTGGCAGTCTCCTCCCAAAAATATTCTTTTAAGTTTTTATTAAGAAACTATATTATAGTTTTCCTAAAAATTTATTTATTTTGATTGATATCTTAAAATTAATTTTCTAGTTTTATCTTTACCATCATAAATAATGATTTATGTAATAATCGATTCGGTTGAGTGAAATTTAGAATAGATAAAAAAAATTAAATTATGGATTCTTATATCGAAGATTTCTTGATAAAATTTTTAGACAAATGAGTATTATGGTTTTGAATGCCTATATACAAATAAAATTACTACCAGTTATTATGGTTAAAAAATGATTTCAAATATAAAATGGTTAAAATTTTAAATAAATTTAAAATTTTACACTAATAAAAATAAACCAAAAATACTCATAGCCATATCTTTATTACATATCATTTAATCTAATCTTCAACTTCTAATATCAAAGACAACCTCGGACAAATAATACCATCAGAACAAATTTCACAGAAAAAGAAACGATTTTAACGTCAGTATAACTTTTTATGCATTTTATGATTAGACAAAAATATTAACTATTAATTTTTTTCTTTATCATATTGGAAAGGAGAAAAGTATTTCCAGAAAATAAGAACCGTAGTCGTTTTGAATTTGGGCACGTTGAAACTGCCTAACATTTTAAACCCATATTTCCAGAAGCTAGTCCACGCGTTAGTCACAATTGGACAAATGGTTGAACAATTCGCAGTTCAAACAGAAGAGCTTTCACTCGCTTAAATATTGAAAGAGAAATAAACTGAAATAACATAAAAAAAATCACCAAATATCAAGTAATCTGAACTCATTCACTGTAACCAAAAAAATAAACAATAGTCAATGTATCACAAGCAAGCTTGTTCTTTACGAATTTTATACAATTTGATGCTACGAATTTTCCAAACCAGCTAATGTTTCTTTTCAAGTGTTGAATAATCTACTAGTAGTTAAGTTTCCCTTAACCAAAAAAAAAAAATCTGATGCATAACCAGGTTTCACCAATCACCTGAACCTAGCAGGTTCCTCGGTTATAGTTTCCAATACAGGCTTCCTTGACCTACAATAATTTAACCTATACTGAAACCCTGAATCCACTCCTTCCAAACTCAACTTTGGAATCTCAGCATCGCTTTCACCTTCCGAGCTTTGCCCCTCACGGTTGTCCGGCAGAACACGCGCCTTTCCTCCTGACAATCTCTTGGCGGCGGAGTTGGCTGCCAAGAAGAGCACCGCCATGTCAGCGGCGGTGACAACGGAGTTCACTCTCCTCATCGGGAAAAAGATGTACACGTTCCCAAACTCCAACTCTTCGTCAGCAGCAAGAGCAGAAAACCTTCGACCAATATGAAGAGAACGAGAATTGACGAGAAAGTAAGTGGGATGTTCAAGCATGAGTTCCGCAGCTTTCATAATCTCCCTGAACTGCTTGACTTCACCGGTGGGAATGACGACTCTGGCGGCCTTGGAGTTCCTCATCAAAGGAGGAGCCAAGGTGCACGAAACGTAGTTGCCCATCACGTGGAATTAACAAAGAGAAGGTTTTTAACGTTGGGGAGAATCGAAGAACAATGTTTGATGAGAGTTTGTTTTGTGGGTGGGTTTGAAGGTGTGTTGTGGTATATATAGAGAGGGAGCAAAGTCAAAGAAGGTATAGAAGGTATTTGGTTATGGAATATTATTATTACAAGTAGGAAATTTTCACGTGGTTAAGAATTACATCATGTGCGCGAGAGAGTGTGTGAGATGTGTTGACCAGTGTGGTGTTGGCTGGATAAGAGATGAGAATGCGCGTTGGGGAAGATGGAAAGAAGGGAGTGTTTGGTGTTGTGGCATGTTGGGAGATACTAATAATTTAACTTTATGGCTGTCACATTTAAGGCTTAGATTTTCCTTTCAAAACGCGTGTGGCTTCCACCTATGTCTTCTTCCCTAAAACTATACATTTTTTGTATGAACCTTAAAAGGAAAAATGTTTCACAGTTTGAGAATTACAAAGCTTAAAAATATTTAAACATGTTATTAACAAATTAAATAAATCAAACATCATCATATTTTTAGAAAATAAATAAAAATCTACAAGATTTATTAAAAATATCAGCATAATCATATTTTTAGAAAATAAATATTATAAATAAATAAAATCTACAATAATTTATTAAAAAAATCAACATAATCACTAATATAATAAAAAAACATTAAAAGTATTTAATTACTAAATTTACCATGTTTATCATAAAAAATTAATATTTTCTAATTAGATAAATAAATATTTTATAATTTTTAAAATATTTATCTCAGTTTAAAATAATTTAAAAAAATATTTCATAATTTATTTGTTTAAAACATATATTTTATTTATATTTAGACTGAATTATATTATTATTTTAAAAAGTATTTAAATATATTTTAATTTATTTTAAAGTATAATTATTTTTAAAAATTTAATTATTTTTTATTTTAAGTTATTTTTGAATAAGTATTTAAAGAGAGAAGTGAAAAAAGAGAGAGAGAGAGAGAGAGAGAGAGAGAGAGAAAAGGGTTCTTTGATTAAAAAAAATTATTAGGTAAACTAAAATAAATTCAATTTTAAATAAGTGGGTAAATATGTGCATGTATTAGAATTACTCCTCTTATTATGTAAAATGGATCTTTGTAATTGTGTATTGCCTCTTATTAGTGATAAATTTTTAGTTAGAATCTAAAATCTAAAATTTATTTTTTATATAAATTTTTATTAAAGAGAAAACAAACATAGACAAGATGAAAAATATATTATTATATAAGAATCTTATAAATTTTAAAGTAATTTAAATATCAAATAGATTTTTCTCATATATTAGAAAGATATGTTGCTCAATTGCCAGAAGAAAATACTTTTTTTTTTGAAGAAATCTTGTATTACAATAAACAGTAAAAATATCCAACGTGAAAACTTTTAAAGATAGGAAAGTGATTATCAAAAAAATTTGAAATAGGTTTTTTTCCATAAACCAAATAAATTTAAAATAAACATTCAGTCATACAATTATGTTAATATTTACAAAAAGTTACATTAAATATCACATTGTTTAATAATTTTTATGCACATAATTAATTTTATACTTAATGAGTTAACATTTGATTGATGATATATACGTGGAAGATAAAATCAGTATGGAATTAAAAAAAATAACATAACACCTTCTATTCAACGTTTGTGCTTTATTACGGGTTGATTTTGTAATATCGACTATTAAATTATGTGATTTTATCTTAATTATTATGCATATAAAGTTTTTACATATTTTAAACATTTTAACGGATATAATTAGTTGAGTAGAATACTTTAATTTTTTACAATATTTTAAAATCTAAATCTTAAATCTTAAACCCTATAAAAAAATTAATACATTTTTAATATTTATTTATTTTTCAAATGGTACATTATACATCGAGATAAGATAACATTTTAAGAAACTAGCATATATGACTTAAAATTGGATAATAATAAAAATTATATGAATCGTTGTTGTAAGACTTTCATGGAATTGGGTGATTACGAATACGACTTTTAATATAAATAAATTATTATTTTTTTAATTAAGTGAAAATTTGATGTAGTCCAATCCTATCTATTTGTTAAATACTAAATTTTTGCGTGTTGAATTCGAGATCAAATTTAATTCACGAAATAAAATTATTAAATCATATTAATATTAATAATACAATTACTATTTAATAATCATATATAATAAAATATTAAATTATTATAAATTTAAAAATAATCTAAAAATTTCTAAAAATATAATTTAAAATTATATTTTTAATAAAAAATATTTTTAAAACAGTGGATTAGATTGGTTTTAGTCAAATAAAAAATTATAGAAACTTAACTCAATTTAATCGGATAGATAAAGAATCAAATTAAAATTTTTTTTTCTTGTTTAGAGTGTGAGAGATTATTAATTGTGCCGACATTTCTCTATAAAAAATGTGCTAATACGACTATATGAGGTAAACAAGTGTGAAACAGTTTCACGAAATGTGGAATTCAAACTCCTTTTTTTATTATTCACTAAGTCTTGATATATGGTACGCGTGATAATTAATATTTGAATAGTAGAAGTAAAAAGAAGGTTAGATTTGATTTAAAGTGATAATTGATTTTGTTTAGTTTGCAAGATTTGATTTAACTTTCCTTTAATCCAGGGTTTAAATCAAATAGTCCAAAAACATAAGGGATTTGAAATTATATTTATTATTGTAATGAATGAGTGAGTTAGTTAACAGCAATTGAATAGCAAAGCAATCCCAACTACCAATTCGTTATGGTTAGTTATTGAAACAACTCATTACCTTAACAAACAAAACACGTCACATCACTATCAATACATAAGTTAGAGTCATGTTCTGTATGCTGTTCCATAACCCTTCTGCCACTTTGTACTACTGATCTACAAACACAACTTCTTTTTAGATCATGATAAATTTAATATTTTAAAATTTTTATGTAATTTAAAATATATTTGATTATATATTGTTTTGTAGGTTTAAGAAGATTTTCGAATTATTAAATCTTAACAAATTTATAAAGAGTTCTATTATAGGATCATTTTGGAATAATAAAATATAATAAAATCTTACGATATATGATATTATTAAAATATATAAACAAATATAATTCTCATTTTATAAGATTAAATTAAATATTTATAATTTTTAAGATATTATCATAATTAATTTTAGATTGAGATATGAACATTTTTTTCTTATCTTCTTTGAAATGGGAAAACTAAATATATAATATATAAATAAGTACGATATTTATTTTATTAAATTAATGTTTAATTTTTGATGGATGGAAGAGTTTAGAGGTCCATGGTCTCTGTGAGCTAAAGACAAGGTTTGGTGTTCCAGTGAGTGTCAGCTGTATTTGTCTCACTTTGATCAGTCCCACACCCAACAACCACCAAACACATTTGCAAAAATGCAACTGGGTCACTTACTAGCTTGGGTTCTCTAACATACTCTTAGCAATCAAATTAATATAAGATTATGTCACAATTAGTAATTTTATGACTTTTAGTGATAAGACTCCTCTAAGCTATATGATCCTTAATCATCTTCATATCTTCAATAACTCTTCTATTGAATAAGCATACAAGTAACACAATTGTGAATTTAAAAATAAATACATTCTAATTATGCATTTTGATTAATATTATTTTAAAAATATTGTTTTTTTTTTCTATTTTCATATAGATTTCATGGTAAATAACTTAAGAAAAAAGATACAAACCTAATTGAAATCAATTGACATTAATTAGATTTTATCTCTAGCTGAATTTGTTGAATGTATCTAAATATCTTAAAATTTGAATATTATTCCCTGTAATAACACAATAATATATAAACCGTATATTTTTAAATTAAGAAATGAATTATCTCGGGAGATAAAGTTATAATCAATGATTTTTAAATCATACGTGTAATCGAATGGGTGAAAACATAGATGTAGAATTTTAAAATTTAAAGTAAAATCAGATTTAATAAAATAATATTTTTAATAAAAAATAATAAAAATTATTATTATAATCATTGTAAATTATAATAAAAATTATAAATATAAAATATATTAAAAATAAAATAAATAATTATTAAAATAATATAAAAATATAATAAAATAACTATTATTTAAAACTGATATAATTAATATAAAATAAGAAAATAAAATATTATATCTTTTATATAAAATAAATTATATTAAAAAAAATTAATCTTAAATAATTTTTTATTATTTAAATCGGTATGACCAAAAATTTAAACCATTTTTTTTTATTTTGTACTAACTCAATTAAGATTACTTAAAAACACTATATCAATTTTTAATCTAATTCTTGGTCGAACCTATTGGGATTTCAAAACATGTTATATCATACGTTTTGTTTTATGGAAATTATTGTCGGTTAATTTAATTGTACATAAATTACAATTCTGCCAGAGAATCATTATGATTTATCTACATAATGAATCATTATTATTAAAAAAGATAATTATAAGGACATGTTTAGAGAATTTTAATCCAAAAATATTTTTCATTAATAATTTTCTCAATTTCTCTTATTTTTTTATATTTATCTTTCATAACTGTTATTTAATTAACTATTTTCTATTACTATTGAATATCACTGTGAATTATTATTATGAATATTAAATTATTTGAATAGAATTATACATAATATTTATCTTATATTACTTAATTACATCTGCAATATTATTTTTATGTGGCAATAATACCTAATTTTCCCTTGCGGTTTCCTAGTTTTGAATTTGATTGATTGTAGTTTTAAGGTAACGAATAGCAAGAAAATAGGTTATTTGTTTTTCTTTTAAGACAAAATATATACATTAACAGTTGGGTTAGAATGGATAATTAAACATTAGTGTTAGGATTTTCAATTCACTTTATCAATAGGTTAATTTCATTTCAATTTCAGAAAGTTATAATAGGATGAGATAAATTGTTGATATATATTGCCATTTTTACATTTTTCAAAATTTCATATAAAGTCAAATTAATATTTTAGTTAGTTATTTAATTACAAAAAAATTATTTTATTTTTTAACTTATGTAATCAATGCTCAAATTTCGTAACATTAGTCACAATGACCATTTACTAATCAACATTAAAACAATCTCCTATTATTTAAACACAATTATATATATAAAAAAAGTTCTAAAGATAAAAAGATCAAGCATAAGCTATTTTGTTCTTACTACTAAACGGATATTTTTTTATTAAATAAACTAACACTTTATATATATTTTTTATATGAATCAAAATTGGCTTGATTCAAACTTAAAATTACAGTTGAAATATTTTTAAGAGTAATTCATATTCATTTACTCACATGTATGACATTATTTATATTCTATTCTGTTTAAAATGATTGGCCATGTGCACTACATTTAATTAAAATCAAAATGTAACGGTCACTCAAATAATGAAATTGGCAAAAGGCGTTAGGGCAAAGAAGGGGAAATGAGTGTTATTTTGTTTTGGCATGTTAACCTTTTCGTTAAATTTCTTGAGATAACTGAAATTGTTGAGTTAGTTTTTGGGATATGAATTAGTAATGACTATGACATGAGTATTATACTCAGAGGAGCATTTTGCAATTGCAGTCATCGCTGTCACCTTCTTCTTTCTGCGTCTTATTCTTCTTCGGTGAGTGAGTGTGTGAGTGTGTGAATGAGATGAACAATCCCAACGAAGAAGAACCGTTATCTAGAGCTGCAAGAGCAGCAGAAGATCTTTACCATCTTCGAGACACTTATTTCCCACCCAACTCCGACGACAGAATTTCCAAGTTGCAACACGAATCCGATCTCGCTCTTAAACTCCTCGATTCCATTCCCCCAGGTCAGTTTATTTCCTATCCCCACATAAAAACGCTCCCTTTTACCCCTTTTCGGCAAAGGGTATCCTTCTCCCATGCTTGTTGAGTAACCCGTTTGGTTTGTACTTCTCACTCAACTGTTATCAACGCGGGAGCTTTGTTTTGTTTTGTTTTTCTTTTCTGGGGTTTTGGTTGAAGATTTGAAATTCAGTTTTTTTTTTCATGAGTTATATGTTTGCTAATGTGTGAAATGAAATTAGACTTCCACCCCTTCCCGTTTGGGATGATTGAACCAGTCTTTTAGGCAGATATGGTCAATAGACGCACTCAGTTAACGAAGTCTACTTAGTGGACAATTGTTTAACACTTTATTTTTTCCAATTGGTCGTCACTCGTCAGCTGCATAAATTACCCGCAGATTGTGTTAAGCTAAGCATTTTAAATAAGTCTGTGTACTAACAACTGGTACATGTTATTAAAGGGCAGTAGTACAAGGAGGTTGGCAATGAGGAACAGTATTTTATTTTCCTTTTAATGTAAAGGAGGTGTATTAAAATTGAGATTTTTTTTTCCCATGTTTTAGAAGGTATGGTAATGCAATTAACCTTAGTGATCATTACACTACCTAAATATGTAAATTTTTACTCTTCATAAAAGGATACTGCTTACTATCATTGGGATGGCATAATCTAAGGTGAAGAAAGCCCCAATACTTACCATCATAATATAAATTCAACTTGTTGAGACTGATCAGCCTCAGCTAGATGGAGTGTTTCTAAATATCAATATTCTGATGCTTTATAACAACAATAGTTAATTCATTTCCCTTTAAGTTGGTTTGCTACATGGATCATATGATGCCATAAATTTCTGTCTTTTATTATTGCGTAGACAAATTATTTACCTCTGAATCCATCTTAATGATTTGACCTACAGTTTTTTCTGGTCTCTCTTCCTTTAACTATTGAACTATGTTCTATCTAGTTATCTCTCCATACTGATTCTTTTATGGGTCCTCTCCTCACATGCCCAAACCATCTAAGGTGTCACTCTACCAATTTTTTCTGCAATAGGGATTGCTCACAAGTTCCTAATGCTATCTTATCTTGTGTATCCAGTCATCCATTGTAGCATTCTCATTTTGCAATGTAATCTTATTTTCTTGCTGGCTCTTTAATGCCCATGCCCAACACTCGATCCCATATAGTCTTATAGTCATGTGGTAAAATTTTCCTTTAAGCTTAGAGTGGTACTTTCTATCACATATCACCTGTGAAGCAATCCTCTATTTCATCCACCCTTCTTGGATCTCATGGTAGAGATCACTTTGTCTCTCTGATATTTTGTATAATGGACTGACAATAGAATTTGCATATCTATAACTTTCCCTAAACCAATCCAAGATGGAAAGATTAGGGCTCAAAGTAGATCATTGGTGTAAACCTATGGTTATAGGAAAGTCTTCTGTATCTTACTTATGTTCTTACACTAGTTGTAACTCCATCGTACATATCATTGATTGTCTCAAATTTAAGCAATCTTGGCTTGATGGCTTTTCTTTTGTTACACTGTTCATAGAAACTCTCTGGGTATTCTATCAGTGTTGGTAATGATGTGATGCTTTATAGTATACGAAAAAATATGCTTGCAGAGAAACTACTATATTGTTCATATTATTTTTCAATTTTTTTTTCTGCCTCAGACTCAGTTACTTAGGAGAGTGGATGACATCTTCCTCAGTTTTACTTTTGAACAATACATCTACTTATTTCTGATAAAGTTTGTTAATCAAATTTTCTTACACCTGTGCCAGAACAAAGAAAATCACCTACACAACGAGCAACATTTGAATATCTTAGAGGGAAGATTATGGATGTATTTCCTGACTATAGGAAAGAAGCTGAGGATCATCTATCAAAAGCTGTAAGCAAAATTTAATTTTAGCTTCTTTGATTTAGTGTTTCTTTTTGTTGATGGTTTAAATGATTGTAATCGACTCTTACATGGACCAGGTTAAGTTAAACCCATCTCTTGCAGATGCTTGGCTATGTTTGGGAAATTGCATTTGGAAGAAAGGAGATTTAATTGCTGCGAAGAACTGCCTCAGTCTTGCATTAGACAAGGTATCAAGAGTATATTTTGGCAACTTCCTTGATTGATACTAAAACAATCAGTTCCAGAGCTAGAGATCATTTCATACCCCCTAATAAGTGATGGATTAGGAACTTGTTCAATAGAATATAATAATTTTACTTCAAATCATTATGTTTACATAAGAATGGAATTCTTGTATGAACTGAGCCTGGTTGGTTTTTCAAACTTAAAACTTTTCCATTTAAATTTGTTGTAGATAGGATTGTTTTATGGCTTCTCCTTTAAGCTGTCCTTTTGACAGCCATATGCAGATAGCATTGTTATGCTAACAAGCTTGGTTTATTTCATTTGTTTTGTTTTTGTCTCCTTGTTCACAGGGATGTTATATATTACCATTCCTCCTATGTATTCTTCTTGCTAATTTGAATAAATTTTTTGTTTATAAGAAATGAAAATAATGAAATCAATATTCCCTTCTCCTTTGTAAAATGTGGGAACTAAATAGTGAGGTAAATCCTTCTTTATCCATTTCCAAATTGGTGGCAGAAAAACACAATTGAAATGTTGATCTATTTCAACAAATATATTCTATCTCCACACTATTCCTATCATTAGTGTGCAAATACTAGTCTGCTTATTTCATTTCTTGATCAATGTATCCTGTAAATTTTTGTGGGGATAACAATCATGTATTCATTTGCAGGGGTAGCAATTGGATAGAATTTATAAATAAATATTTTAAACAGAAATATAAAATTAGTCAGTTCAAAATTGTATAGAAAAACTGAAGAATAAATTGTTAGTGATGGAAAATTTGAATTGCGTATTTATGAAGATGTTCAAGCGTGAGTGACTGAAAAAAACATTATGGAAGATTATCGTTTTTCCTGTAAATGCAATTGAATATACTTTGACACTTGTATATTGTTAATATTAAGAGTGTCAATTTCCAAGATAAGTTTATCCATATATTATTAGAGTAGTTTACGTAATGCATGTTGACAAATTAAGGAATGGAGCACGCATGTGTCAAATAGGGCTTCAATTACATAAAACTATATTAATTTGTATTTATATATTCTGTTTCATAATTCAGTAGTTTTTATTGACAGAAATTATGAATGTTATAACCATGTTACATAATTTCAAATTTTTGTTATAACTGTAGCTTCAGGGATACTAAATTATGAATGGTTTTTTTGTTAGAATGATTTGAATAATAGTTTAGCTACATTTTTGTAATGCTTTTAAATCATTTCACACTTGTACTGTGGCTAGCCTGTTCCTTAAGAGTTCAAGTAATTTATCTCTTGCAAATCATGGTAATTTCTTAACATGGTAGTTTGGTTATTGATGCTTGATATTAGATATGCATCAGTAGATGATATGCTTTTAGGGAAAGGCGTTTATTTTTAACATCAAACGTATTCAATTCAATATTTTGATACAAATAAGGGAAATTTACTGGAGACCAATAGGCCTTAACTATTTTCTCCTAAGTCTCATTTTTAATTTGCTCTAGTTGAGATTCCATTCAGTGAAATGATGAAGTGACAATATGTATTTGTTGTCTCTGCAGGGTCCAAACAAAAAAATTCTTTGTCAATTATCAATGCTTAAAAGAAAAATGTCTCAAGGTAAGGGATCCATTTACATTTTTATTTTTTTAAAGGTCATTTTTCAATTGTTCTAACTTGTAATTTGTTTGGTCATGACAACTTGATTTTGAGCACTTCTGTATATAAAATGAAAGAGCCTTGTGTTTCCACATTCATCATTTGTGTTGATTTTAGTCATAATTATACTGATTGGTCGTGATTTTCTTTTTTCACCTAGTCCAAAGCATCATGTGATCCATATAGCCGATCTCACTTAATGGGATAAGACTATTGTTATTGTTGTTGTGGTGGTGCTCAGGCTGTCATGATTTTCAAGAGTCGTTAATTTTTCATGCATTTTTATGACAGACTCATGTCATTAGAGAAAATATCAATTATTTGCCTGAAAAGTAGGCTTAAAATCCTTCATGTTAGAATTAGAGAAAATGTGGTTTATCTCCTTCTGGAGTAACCATATGTTATGATTGCTTCTAACTGTAAGAAAATACTTCATTTAGTGGTCTCAAATGTGGTTATATTAACTTGGGCATTTAATTACCTAAGAGTATATTCAGTGCAAGAACTCCATTTGGATTTTGAACTCCCTTTTAGTAGGTATCTTGTTGCCACATGGGATTTAAGAACGCTCACTAGATTTACTATAGTGATAGAACCAAAGTGACTTCTTCTCAACTTATTTTTAGTGGGTCTCATTATTTATCTACTAGCGCCTGAACACCCATTTTGACAAGGAAAATTGTCTCTTTAATGGTTAAGCAACACTGGTTTTAGTTTTGTTTGTAAACAACTTCTATAAGAATTCATTTGCTCCAATATATTCTCAAGTTGCTTAAATTTAAGAACCAGCATAAGCAACTTCGATGGAGTTGCTCTATGCTGTGTATTTGAACTAAAACATGAAAAGTTGGGGATGACAATGCAATGGTATAGGAAAAGTGTGGCAAGTGAAAATGAAGGAAAGAAGGGAATGTGGAGGAGAAAGGAGGTTGTAATTTGAAAATTAACTGCATATAATAGTTATATCTTTTAAATACCTTGTCATTTCTTTTTGTTTCTTGCCATACTAATAGAATAAGGACTTTTTTGTAGTTTTATGGTGAAAAATAAGAATGGTAAATGTTAGGATCCAATTGGATCTCTTGCATTTGAAGTATGAGATTATTACTGTGGTTTATAGGGCCTTCGATTCTCCAACTACAATGGTTGGCTTTTGTTGTGTGGTTCTCCAATGATTCTTATTAATTGGTATCAAAACTTAAACGTCCACCTTGCCTCTCAGCTGCAAATGAGCAATGTGGGAGATGACACTAACACATTGCAATGTTTGCCTTGGGGTCCAGGGCTAGCTAATAAGGCTAGTGCACAAACAGCCTGCATGGGCCCTGAGGCTACAAAATGTGGTGGAATGTTTAGGATCATTGCAGGGTTTAGGACTTGTGGCCCACATTGGAACATCTGATTCTAGTGTGTGCCTTACAAGCCTTTGGGCTTTCCAATTTCAATGACTAGCTTTTGTGGTATGGTTCTTCTAAATTTCTTAGTAAAAAACTCTAATACTGAGAACTCAGGTGTGGAGAATCAAGCAGAACTGGTTGAGGAAAGCATTCAACATGCCAAGGAAGCAATCACTTTGGACGTCAAGGATGGGAGCTCTTGGTGTAAGTTCTCAAATAAGCTATTACCATGACTTTTAAAAAAAAAAAAAAAAACTCTTATTACTGAAAAGTATCTGGTCTATCCCCCTGGTAGATTTACCTGTAAACATAATTATGATGAATTGCTGATTGCTGTAAAGTTGCTAGTTAGTAGGCTGTAAATTATTTATGGATTAACCCATTGATTTTTCCTTGATGAAAAGAAATTACACCATAACCAAGGGAGTGGTATGCAAATTAGATACACACAGTTTCTCTTTAACACTCTGTTTCCTTAGATGAACAGAGATAACTGAAATTGAATATAAGTGTTGAGATATGGCTCAGATTCTGTCACATTGCAGATTTTAAAAGTATAATTTGTATTTATTTTAGATTGCAAGGGTTGGACCTGATAGGCTAGGTGGCTCAACCCACCAGCCTAACTTGGTGGGCAGGGGCAAGTTATTCCACTGGCTTGTTATATATATAGTTTTAAGTCTTATTGGAAAATTAAATATATATTGTTAGTTTATTTTTATAAACTCAATTCTTCTAGTACTAATAGGAAAATATATATTCAAATCAAATTTATGCTAAGTTTTACAGAAATAAGAAACTTAAACTTTCTCTGTTTTCAGATAGTACTAATGTTGTCCATAAAAAAAATGTTTGTAACTAAATAGAATACATAGGGGAAAAAATGGAGCAACTTTAAATTTTCAGTCTCTCTTTTTGTTTTGGTCTAAGTCTTGTTTGTTCTGAAATAAGATGCAATCTCCGTGATCTTTTAACATCATCTAATCTCCTTGGCAGATAATCTTGGAAATGCTTGCCTTACAAGTTTTTTTGTCACTGGAGCTTGGGATCATACTAAACTTTTACATTCTTTAAAAGCATATCAAAATGCTGTGAGTATGAAGAGGAAGATTTATAATGTGCATATAATAAAAATTTATAATGTGCATACGGTAGAAATATATCTTCCTTTTGGTCACTTTTGTTATACTTATTTCTACATGGAGATTATTATTGTATGTTATATGTTGGTGAACAGAATTATCATTTACAAATTGGAATGGAAGACCTAATATTTGGTTAATATGTGCCAGGAGAAAGATGATAGAATGAAGTCCAATCCAGATTTATATTTTAATAGTGCTACAGTACGTTGAATCTCTGATCCTTTTACTGTGTTTCATTGTGTTCAAAGTAATATTTAAACCTCAGTTTTACATAATAGCTATAGTGGCTGCAACACTTAATATGCATAAATAGTGTATTGAGTGGTGTTTTTGCTTGTTTGTCTAAATAATTTCTTACAGGTTAACAAATATTTAGAGAACTACCAGAGGGCCCTTAGTGGATTTGAGGCTGCTGCTTTAAAGGATCCAGGTCTCAATGCCACGGAGGAGGTTCAAAAGATAGTCAGTTTACTTGACAAGGTGGACAATCTTTTGAAGGTAATGAAATGAAAGTTTTCCTTTGGCTATGTAGTGGTAATTTAAGCTAGTAATCTGTTGAAGCATTATTCATAGGTTTTTTCTGTGGGTTGATATTCATGCATGGAGGATTCTTTTCATGATAGAAGCTGGTAACTTCAAGAAACATTATAGTCCATTCTACTACCCTCCCTCTCCCCAAGTACCAGCAATTTTTAACAAGTTGTAGTCAACATCTTAGAAGCTTCTTGTTTATATATAGTTTTATTATGCACAGGGACATGTAAGAGCCAAGCGAATGACATCTTTGGCTTCATCATTGGTTTCCGTTGATTGTAAGCACTTTTCTTTGAGCTAGGCTTCAGTTTATGGTCCATCTTTAATTCTACCGAGCCTGGGCTTAAATCTTCATTTTTCAATAGTAAACTGATTACTGATTTGATTCATGTCTTTGGTGCAAGTGAAATCGTCATACAGAAGAGTTACCATAGACCTTCTGTCAGAGGGTCCAAATAAAGCTCTTGCAGTAGAGGGGAAAGTTTTTTTCTTTGTTAGGACTGAAGGTGTTGCTCCCCTGTAAGTCCTCTACTCGTGAAAAATAATTTAACTACATATAATCTTTTCCATAAACAGATTCCTTTGTATTTGTAATTCTAAATTTGAAGTGATGAAATTTGATTAGAAGTAGTGGAGTGTTATAACGAACCAATGAAAGATTTTATTGAATGAACTAAAAATAGGAGAAAGATAAAAGGAAAATCCTCAATCTACAATTGTTGATCAAATAGAATGACCCTTTCCCCTTACAGTCTTAATCATTTCACACAGTCACTCACCAACTAACTAGCTAATGGACCATATTCTGTTCAAACAGAGTTGTCGATAGTAGAAATGGTTTATTACACCAATTCATTGCATAATCTCTCTCTCTCTCTCCCTCCCTCCTTATTATGCCTAAACTGTGTATTGCATTTTTTAATTGCAAATTTCATAGCATTTTGTGGGCTCACTTGTTTATTATGCATCAAATGTCCGCTTTTTCTGTACTCTTGTTTGCTCTTACTTTTTTTGGTGGGCATTTAGTTGGAGTTGACTGGATGGTTTGAAAAGGGAGCTTTTCAATTTTCACAATGGTGAGGAACTCAGGCCTATTGTAGGGGGGGCTAATTGACAAATGAAATCATAAAGAAAAAATGGGACAAATTAATTAGAATAAATTAAAAATCAAACACATTTATGGTTCAGGTTTCATCTAATGCAGTAAACAGTCTGTTCCTTTAACTTTACCAAAGAACGTTTTACATAAATTTTATTCCCTAAGGTTTTCATTTATTTTTCAATTTAGTTCCCCTATTGTCTTTTCTTTTTGAATCAGTCCTTATAAGGCATTTGCTTCACGGATTTAACTATATTACCGGGAATGACATTCCTGAGATTAATATAACTGCGATATCAAACATGTTTGGTATTCGTCATTCCCTGTTATTTTTTTAAATTTTATTTTGGTGAAATTAGAAATATTAAAAAAAGTAAAATAAGATGAAGGTTGGAACTTATTTTAGAAAATAACTTTCATTAACATGGAAATATAAGATTCCCACCCTTTTACATTGGGATAGGAAGAGGGGAAACATGTGTAATACAGATTCCTGGGAATGAGTCATGTTTGAGAATAATCTCTTATAAGACTTAAAACAAACACATTTTTACATGTAGAAGCATTGCCAAAATAATCCCATCTGCCTTTTTTTTTGTTATGACACCGAATTTAGTCACCATCGGACATTCTAGAGTAAAAAAAGAGCATCTAAATCAGCACCTACTTTAGAAAGGGGCATATACTCCAGGAAATTGAGTACCTCTAAGAGAGCACCAAAGGTAAGGAAAAAAAGAAAAGTACAGAAGCACCTATTTAACAGAGAAACATATACCATGGACGGTGGGAAGACTCATCTTCACGACATTTGTAAGTTTAAGAATTGATTTTAGAAGAAAAAATTCTATAGGGTCTAAATTGAAAATATGGGACCAAAATAAGTCTTTTCCTTTTTCTTCTTGAAGTTATTTGTTTAAATGTATTTTCCCTAATAATATTCAATTACTAATATTTATTTTGTCTTATGTTCAAGTAGAACCAAATTTTTGATAAAAATATAATAAACTTTGAATTTTGATTTTACAAAAGGCTTAGTAAAGTGGGGCATACAAAAGATCAATTCACTAGAAAATACTGCATTTGTTTTGAAGCAAAAGACCTGGGTAGTAAAAGGAATAACGAACTGAGACCCTAATAGTTACCTTAACGTGCCCTACGGATTGTTCCCCGTGTTGAAATTAACATGTCTCTACAGTCGTACATTGTAGTCTGGAGGGTACTGAATTTTTTAAGAAAAAAAAACACATTTCCATATGTTTTGAGAATTGTTTGATTGGAACCAGATATGTTCTCCTTGTCATTGTGCAGATACTATTTGCTTTGTGATTCAAATCAATCCTGCTTTGTTGTCTCGATTTATGGTGTGCGTACCGATGTGGTAAGAATTTCTGCTAAAGTTTTATTTCAACTTCTCCTATTGTCTTTTTCTAGAGTAAAAATTCATTTTTCTGGCATATTTCAAGTGTGGCAAACCAGTTGCATGGTTCTTCTTTCTCATGTCTAATAAAATTTCATGTTTGTGCTTAAGCATATGGGCTTTCTTTCTCATTCTGTGCTGAGATTGTTGATTACCGTTGAGATTATAAGGGGTAAAAGAAATTACCAAATGTGATCATATACAATGAAGTCTTCTGCTTTACTAGTGCTGACATAGACCTCATCCAATTATATTGATTATTCTTTTATTTTTTTACTGAATAAAAGTTTGGTCTAGTTGATTATTTCTTTCTTTTTATTGCTATGCTTCATCAATTAATGAATTATTTTAGAGTTAATTGAGCCCTTATCATCCAGATTAAAGAAGGAGATCAGCTAACAATGCTTGACCCTTATTTTCGTGATGTTGATTTGGTGTGGAACGAGAAGGTACACTTTCATGAAAGATATTCATGATTTGCTAATTCCTCTGTCTTCGTAGTAGAACAATACATTCTGATTATGGATTTACCTTGTTTTCATGTATACTTTACCATAGCATTACCAGTTCAAGTCTATACGCCTGGATTTCTATGAACAAGTGCTTGTAAATGGAAAAGCTTTGACTCCTCAACAAGCTGTACGTACGTCAATATATGCTCAACATAAACCCTGAGAAGGCTACTGGTCAATTAGTTGAGTTCTACTTGTCTTCTGGCTGTTGGTGTTGGATGTTATATTCATTGAGTAAATAGAATAGTCGATCCATTTATACATGTGAATTTCTTGTCGAAGTCATGGGTCACAATCAGATAATAGGAAAAGAAGAAACTTGAGAGGAAAGTTTAACACTTGGCTTTCTATTATATCCGTCAAGATTTTGCATTTGTTGAATATGATAGTTTGAAGGTTCTTCTGCTATGTTTTCGATGCTTTTTACAGCATGTTTTATGTAAAAATCTTGTTTGTTGTATCGAACTCCATTCTTGCTAATGCTTCATCTTTTTTAATTTCTTTATGTTGACGAGAAAACAAAAAGGGTATAAAAAGGAAATGCTTAGAAACTTTTCAACTTCGTATCCGAACAGTCTTGCCTGCGATGCTATCATTAAAATACTGTTAATGAAGGGCACCTTCTTGCGAATTTTGGTCTCATCTATTTAAATAAGATCTAAATACGATTAGGTTATATTTATTTTATAAAATAATTATTATTTTATCAATAAAATAAAAATAATATTATTTTATTAAAATATATATATATATATATATATAATAAATTAATTTGATAATATATTTTGTTATATATATATATATATATATATAATTTAGAAAGGATAATAAATTCTAAACATAATCTTCATTTGTTTTAGTCATCTTTTCTGTATTGTTGTGATTATATTTGTTTTTAAGGATCAATCATTTAAGACGATATATTTATATAATAAGATTAATTTGGTCAATTAATGAAAATTTGACCCTAAATTTAGAGAGATATATTTGTTAAATGTATTATTAAGTATGATTTTCAATTTAGTTATAACGAGTATGAGAAAATTTGAGAAGTAAATAAAGTTTTGAATCCTGATTTTAAATTAATTAGTAGAAGTATTTTAATTATAAAGGTTTATAAGATGTATTTAACAAAAAAAAACTAAAAGGTATATTATTTAATATTTTTTGTAGGATATTTTAAATCAAGAAATATTTCAATTATAAAAATTTATAATGTATATTTAATTGAAAAGAAAATTAAAAGATATATTATTTAATATTTTTGATTGAATATGTTTGACCTCTAATATAAGGATAATTATAATTTCTAAAAGCTATACTAACATTTTCTTTTTATGATTTTATATATTTTATTTTATTTTGTCTTCATGAGTTAATTAAATTGTACAATAATAGTTCATTTTTATAATTTATATATTTTATTTTGTCTTTATGAATTAATTAAATAATTTTATATATTTAATTTTATTTGGTGTGAATAGATTATAAGTTAATTTTAAATAAACAAAGAAATGAAATATTTTTTAAATAAAATAAAAAATATTATATAAATAAAAAATATTTTTAATTAAATAAAAAATTTTAATCCATTTTAAAATATAGGTTAGACTCAATTATTAGAATTTTTTTTTAGTTGATCTGTTTTAAAATATATAAGTTAAATAATTTTTTTTTAATTGATCCGTAAAATAGAATAAGACTGGACCGTTCATTTTCACAGTCTAGGAAAGTATTGTATTCTTCCACAAAAATGTTTAATTTATATGTCTGGTAGAGGAAAACAGTTTTAGTGTAAAGCCCCCCATACTCTTTCATCATAAGCAAAGACCTTGATTGTGCAAGCTCAAGGTTAACCAAAAGAACAAGACATTGAACCAGGAAGCTATACAAAATCATGTCAAGATGTGGTTTTAAATATATACAGTTTTGAAAATCAAATTGGACATGTTCAGTATAGTGAATGGAACCAGATTAGGAATGGATACATTGCTTTCAAATAATCGAATTTCAATTAAATAAAAAAAATCGGAAATAATTGAATTTTTTGGTCGAATAGTAAAAATAAAATTATGATCCATTTTTTTATAAAAATATAATATATTTTAATTATTATTTATCTTTTATTATTTAATATATTTTATATTTATGATAATAATTTTTATTATTTTTTTTATAAAAAATATTATTATTAATAAATTTATTATATTATAAAATATTATTTTATTAAATCTTATTCAATATCAAAATTTAGAATTTGTGTTTTACTGGTTGATAACCAGTCGGTTTTAAAACATTGTATACATATAAATACAAAGGCTTTTAAGTTACATTTATCCGTTCGTACCAAAAACCAAACCTATTCCGAAGTGTTGAATAAATTTATTAGGCTTCATCAGCTTAACAAAAATTTAATCACTCAAGAGGAACCATGACAACAAAGCTATAATCACAAGTTACAAGTAAGTTTTCATTTCTCAATACACAATGTACAAAGTTTAAAATCGTGGAATAAAAGTATATTCTTACAGCAGAAAAAGTCTCGTAATTGCTAGAGTACACTTAAAATATTTCAACTAAAAATATAAGTATATTTTATTCTACTTTACATGTTATATATAACTAAGGATTATCTTAAAATAGATGTTATCATTTGAAACAGAGATGGCTTCAGTGATATTGAGTTTAAAATAAAAATTAATATTGAGTTTTTGTGAAAAGTCGGTATATATTTTTGTACAAGTCGTTTTTTGTTAAAGAATTATTCTTAGAAGTCAGATATTTGAATGACTTTGAAAGAGGAAAGTAATTTTTTTGGCCATTCTTGAGATAAATTTCTGGATCCGTCCCTGTTACAGAATTGTATATAAACTTCAACATAAGACTTAGATTTATATTTTCTTTATATATTTGTTGACCATACCTGTGATTGCGACTCGCTGGTTTAGTATTTCCTTTTTCTGCTGCATCTTGCAACTTGCAAGTTTTATATTTATTTTACTTTTGTCCTCTTGAAGCTCCAATGCTGCTTCCTCCCTTCAAGTTTTCTCTCCCTCTGTTTCTCTGAGCTACTTAGCAAGGTTCAGATTGGTTTCTACAACTGATGTATAGGTTCGGTGGATGGTTTTCTGGTCAAATTGTTTTTGATTTATTAGCCTGAGTTCTATGCATTATTATGCAGAGGATTTGATTATCTTGCAAGTATTGCTTTGACTTCCACACGATCCCTCTCCTTCTCAGGTACTATTCATTCGTTTCAGATTAATTTATCTGGCATTTGTACCTCCTTGTATCTAAACATAGATTATTAAATGGTTTCAACTAATGTCTACATAATACAGTATGATGTTTCGATTTTTTTTTATTCTTTTTTGTTAAGGTGGAATATGATGTTTGAATAGTGGGTTTCGAGTAGAAAAGGAAAGTTGATATGGAGACATAATTGTAGCAATTAAAATAAAATGAAGATAACTCTTTTACATAATTGTTGTAGAAAATTGGGATGAAGGAAAGAAAAACGAGTAGAAAGGATTTAACATAAGCATAATCAACATAACTTTGCGATGCAACTAATTAGAGAAGGTAAATAATTGTCTTTTTTTAGATTTGCTTCTAATTAATTTATAACTTATTTATTTGCACTGTAGTTCTGAACTAATACACAATAATGAGCAACAAATTAGATGACATAATGGATCAAAGGCTTGCCCAACTAAACAAGGTAAAACAAAAATTTGATAAAATGAATCAAATTTCAGTCCCTAAGATCCAAAAGATACCAGTTGTGCTGCGACAAAAGGAAAGGTTTGCTATGTACTGCTCACCAAAGGTGATATCATTTGGTCCTATCCATCACAAAAATGAGCTTCTGACGCAAGGAGGGGATTATAAACTTCTATGGACATCAAAGTTTGTTGTGGAACACAATGAAAATCAAGTTACTGGTCAACCAATTGCTAAAGTTTTACTAAAAAGGATAGAAGACAATATTGAAGAATTGAAGAATCAATTTGCTGAAGATGTAATATCGGGAGAAAGGTATGATGACAAATACCTCTCTTGGATGTTGTTTGTGGATGGATGTTCTTTGCTCTATTTCATGGAAAATGTTGATAGTGAGCATCCAGAAGCATTAAACCTTAAGCTTGATCAACTAACGTATATGTGGAGAGATAGTTGTTTGTTGGAGAATCAACTTCCAAGGAGATTGCTTGAGATGCTAAGTAAAAGGGGAGGAGCAGACTTGGAATATTTGTTTTTCAATCATTTTAGCTGGGGTGGATCCAAACAAGATGGAAGTGTAAGAGTCTCAGTCCAAAATCCTAAACCAATTCATATACTCGATTTTCATCGCTCTTTTTTCCTGTCACCCCAAATGTATATCGATTATGACACAAACAATCAAATAGATATAAATACAATCTCGTATAAACAAGAGGAAGAGGAAGATGATGAACTCGATATTGAAACAGATATGGTTAGTTGGCATACTTACAAGAACATACGAGATCTAAAAATAGCAGGGATTCGAATGTTGCCAAATTCAGGTGAAAATCCTTTTGCTTGGAATAACATTCGTTTCACCTCTAAGTGGTTTAGTGGGGAATTGACACTGCCAATATTTGTGTTCAATGATTTCACACCCTCTTTGTTTCGGAACCTCATAGCGTATGAGATGTGTCCAGATGTTTGTTGCAAGTACGAATGTTGCTCATTCTTTTCCTTTATGGATTCCCTGATTGACACTGCTGAAGACGTGAAGGAGCTTAGAATAAGTGGCGTCTTTCAAAACTTGCTTGGAAGTGACCAAGACTTGGCCAATCTTTTTAATGAATTGGGTACGGATTTGCCAACAAAAATGTACTGTGAAAACATCTTCATCTCTGGTAATGTTGTGGCCTTCAGCAAGAAATACATTGTCATTAAGCAGCGAATCGAAGAACATTGCACAACTAAATGGAAGACATGGTTGGCTGAAGCTTACAATACTCATTTTAATACCCCCTGGACTACGGTTGCCTTTTCGGCTGCATTACTAGCATTGATTCTCACTTTTATCCAAACCTGGTTCGCTATACATCCTTCTAAATGATTTTGATAATGCAAAAAGAGTATTATCTTATGTACGTGTATGTGTTTGTTATTATCATGAGGTATTTATGTGACTTGCAACTTTGAAGTTCATATTTATTCATACAAATGTCTTGTTTTTAGACATGCCCACCCTGAATGTCAGACACAACAATTCCTCCAAGATTACAAAGACCAGCATATTCATCAATATTTCTAGTCATTGTTGCCAAAAATTCCTTGGATTTTTTTTGTAAGCTATCGTTCAAATTAAAAACTTATTCGTAACTTAGTTTTAAGTTTTTTTTTTAATGGATTGTTCACTTTGGATTTAGAATCCCTTGTCAAGGGCTAAGATTTTGTTATTATATTTAATAGTTTAATTTTTACTAAGTGAAATTTATGATAATAGATCATAATTTGAGCAAGATTTTCGGAATCACATACTTAAGGGAGAAAATCACGTCGTGATCAAACTCTCAACTTCAAGTCATAGATGCTAAGGCGGCTCAAAATAGGTCAAATGACCGCATTATTATGTTGTTGTTCGGTTTCGGGATGAGACCTTTTATTCGTACACCACATAATCCCCAACTTCAAGTTACGGATGCTAAGACTTGAATAGATCATTGAAAATTGTATTATATCAAGTCGTTTGGTCTAACTATTATACTAATAATCAAAGTATGCTATTATACTACTAATCATAGAGTTATTATGTCTTTTAACTTCACAAGATCATTGTTTAACCTCATATCCTTCATTTCAATTTCTTGTTTCATGATTCATTCTTCTCTTGTGCTTCCTATTTATCCCAATAATAATAATAATAATAACAAATAATAATAATAATAATAATAACAACAAATAATAATAAATAAATATCAATAAAAATAAACTTCAATCTTATCTATTGCGTATTTATTGATGATACTTGTATTGCTCACACAAATATATTGTTTGAACTCATTGAGGTATATATGTTTGTAGTATTTTCTAGATTAATTATTAAGTCATCAACAATTAAAGAGGAGATTTATTATGGTATTTTCTTCTTCTGTATAAGTATTTATCTTACTTATTATTATTTTATAGAGATTTCTTGTTCTTTTCATTTTTTTTTTTTTGGTATAATAGGAAACGTTTTACCGTTTTTCACATACTACATCAAATGTTGTTGCCAAAAAGTACTTCTGACTTTTTGGTTAACTATCATTCCAGTAAAAAATTTGGTTATAAGCTAATTTTAATCTCTTTTTTAATGAATTATTATGCTTTGAATCTAAAATCCCTCAACTAAAACTTACGATTATGTTATTATATTTATTAAATAACTTGATTTTTGACATGCAAGATTTATATATCATAATTTTGATAAGATTTTCAAATCACACCCCTAAAAAAAATTGTGTCATGACCCAATCATGAGATTAACAATTTATTTCGACAGAACACTAATCAACCATCAAAAACTAATATATACATGATGAAGAATGAACACTTTAAACCTTAAAAAATTCTAGTGTTAACTAAACAAATTGAATATCTACTCTTCATTTTCTCATATCATATTGATATACTTAAAATTTAAGATATATTTGAACATATTTTTACATTAAAATTTCAAAAAAATAAAAAATAAAATAGTTATTTCATAAATTAAAATTAACTTTTATATAATTTGAAAAATAAAAATAATATGAAACTTTTTGACACATTTTCTTATAGATAAACTAGTTTTAACTTGTGTAAAATTATTTCTTTTATTTTTTTCTGAAAAAATCACCATAAGAAATTTGTATCTATTTGGTAAAAAATCATTTCACTAATTCATAAATATTTAAAGAATTCATAATTCCAAAGACTACGTATCCTCAAAACTAGGTTACAATAACTAAAAGTATATAAAATCCGAATTCATCTTCAAAACACACTAAATCTAATTTCTACAATTTATATAATAGTAACTTGAAATCAAGAAAAATTTCTTCGTCAAATCATCAGAATCAGAAGTCAAGACAATGAACATAACACAAGTCAAACGAACAATGAACACATTCCGGATCAAGTGGGGAGCCACACGCACTAGTAATGCTTTATATTTTTTCCCTTCAGATTGAACTTTATAGGTGGGAGAATCCCCTCGAAAAGTACAAATTAAACAAACTATACACAAGGTTGTATCAGTTTAACTATGCACAATCCAATGATGATGCAAAACAACACAAGGCATGAATACAAAACAGAATTTTCACGCTACGCAAAGCCTTTAAGATAGAGGGCTGAATCTCATTTATTTAAGAGATATGACGTAAAAAATAATATTATTTATGCTACAAGATGTATGGATGAACACTATTGCTGCTTATAGTAGCCACTTTGGTGAGGTGGAGGATATGGAGATGGAATAGTATAAGGAGGCCGAGGTACAGAACCAGGTTGTTGTGCTTGTGTGTTGTAGTACGGACCACGCCATCCAGGATAAGCTGGTTGGCCATACTCATGGTTTGCCGGTGGCTGCTGGTGACCCTGAGGGGGTGGGTATGGAGCAGTTGATGATGGTGGAATGTGGTATGGAGGTGGAGGCTGATGATGTGCAGGACCACCGTATTGGGAAGAGGGATGATGGCCATAGGGAGCAACTGGTGGCTGTTCAACTGGCTGATAATAAGGTGTTTGTGGACGAGAATCTGTTTGCGTACTGGCTCTTTGATTTTGGCTTCCCACTGATGGGTAGTTGCTGTTAAAAGCACCTGTGTTTCTGTTATCCTGGAAACTCAGACCTGCCACTTGTCTCTGAACCTCTTCAATCATTTCCTTGCACTGGATGTTCCTTGTCATTATAAAGTCGAAGCTCTGCTGCTTTACGTTAGTGATTGCATCCTGTCCATCAAAGATATTGCATATTATTGCATGATGATATTTATTATAAACAGTATCATTCAACAATGTTATTCAACAAATTTTACGAGATATTCAATTGACATTACTAGCGGAAGAAAGACTGTGTGCCTACATGTATATAAGGCAATGGGGAATTAAAGGCGAAAAGGAATAAATACTGATAGTGATATGTAGAAGTTACAAATTAAAAGGATAAATAAGTGGGAAAAAAACCAATAGATAGATGTCTGTTGTTTGTGGAAGTTACAGGGTTGATGAATAAATAAATAAATTATAAAAAAGAAAACTAGTTAAGAGACAAACATGTCTTGAAAAATGTGTATAACAAAATATGACTTCCTTTTAATTTTAGCTAATAGAAATTAGCACATGGAATCAATTAAAGAGTCAGTATGTTCTTTAAAATAGAATTAAAACTAAACTATATAGAGTTTGATAAGTTCTTACCTGCAGGGTAACATAGAATTTTAACCCTTCATTGATGTTTTCCTTTATTTCTCGAAATTTTGCTATGGAAGCTTCAATCTGCTTATAGGCTTTTTCACGTGAAGCTGAAATAAGTATAAGAAACTATTAGAAGATCAACTATGATACAGGAAAGGTGCACTTAAATTGGAGAATTATGGACCACATAAACAAAAACTGAGTTTTATGTACAATAATAACAGTTGAAAAAACTTTATGTACTGTATTAAACATAATCTGAAAAACGGAATTAACCTTGTCAACATAATAGTAAGGTATAAAAACCAGATTCAATCTAGAAAAATACCCAAATGGGGCCTACCTTTGTAATCTTCAAGATTAAAGATAACAGAGAACTCTTCATTCTGTGCCTGTGAACAATAGCAAGCAATTATCAGAATCACATCATTAAAATTTATCACTTCATCTATTCGAACAAACACAATCACCTAGAAAGGAAGCATTCAATAACTAGTACTCTAAAGCGACTAGGCATGCATAATGGCAAATAATCTGTCATTTTTTTCTTTGCCGACAACCTCTCAAGAAGCATGAAAAAAAAAAAGGTAGTTTGCATTTGCTGATGAATTTTTTAGGAATTAGTTGTAGTGGTAATCAAGAATATTTATTTTTCTCAAATGCATTTGCACTAGTTCTCTTTATATGGGTTCCGGGCATACTTTGAGCAACAATCAAGAATTTTCACAAATACCTGGATCTGCAGCAACAATTGCTCTTGTGCCTCGATATTTTGAGCTATTTCTTCACAAATATGGTCATATTTTGCTATTTCCTTCTTGAAGAGATCATCATAGGAACCGGTGGATGTCATTAACTTTGGTAATATATCATCCTGAAAGATGTTTATACAAATATAAGCAAAATAGTATTTGGGTGTAATGTATTCATGAATGGTAAACTACACAGGAGGAAACATTCCCAGCAATTCTTCACATCCACAACATTTGAAACCTAAGTGAAGAAAACAAACCCAAACCACTAATTAATCTAGCACAATAATTTAACAGAATATAAGTTCAAGACATAAAAATAACATGTACTTCTGTTTATCATTCTTAATTACAGCTCAGCATATTTTCACATTATATGCAGGGAATCATGAATGCTAAGGCATAGCATCAAATACTAGAATCTATTACAATGAAACATAGCTTCAAAGGCATAAGCACAAGAATAGAGATTATACGTTTTGTTAGAAATTCTGTGAAATATCTTAGAACTTAGGTTTAGGCCTAACCAAATCCCATAAAACCAACTTCTAAGGTAAGGATTGTCTCTCACTGATATACTTTAATTAAGTCATATTTCTAGACAGAGTGAGATCTCAAACAGATAGCTTTCAAACCAAAGAATAGAGATATTGAAAATGAAGTTTACAAGACTAGACATTGATGTTTAACAATGGCCTGATAGTAAATGGTCTAATAGTAATAAAACTAATTAACCCAACAAATTTTACAATGATATATTATGATACTAACTTAGAATATAAGTTCAAGTCTAACTCAACCCATCAAAAAGTAATTTGTAAAAGGATTGTAGCTCACATATGTTTTTCATGTTTTATCCATAATCAAGAGGGACTGAACTTGTGTTTTTCCTAATATACCTCTTCACACTGAGCACAACTAAGCTTGATGTGCGAATAATAATACAAAAAGGTAACCATTTTTAATGGATCTAAAATAGATCTATCTTATAGTTTAAGTCAAACTCAAACCCACAAAAACAATTTTTAAGGTCAGAGTTATTTCCAACTTATATACTTTAATTTGATCATATCATATATATAGACAGCGCAAGGTCTTCAACAATGTCATGCTTATATCTTGAAATATTTCAGAGTATCCTAGATTATCTCTTAGGATGTTTTTTTTTTTCATTTGTTTCATTATTTAATTAGAATCTTCATAATAGGAGGCATATTGCCAGGAGTCCCACATTGAGGAAGATAGGTTATTTGATGTGGTACTTATGCCTTGAAGTTCTTCCACCTAATGGACTAGTATTTTGGATTGGGCTCCTCTTGAACTCAAGTCCTAAAACAAATCGGATCATTTAAATTATCCAATGTTTATTTGTATTTATTATATCAAGCATATGAAAGAAACTCCATTGTGTAGTCAGACACATGAATATATTTTACTACCATTGGATCCTGTGTTGCTCCCTAATATCATCATAAAAACAAAATCATTCTACAAAAAAAATAAAATAATGCCAGACAGAACCAAACTCCAAATTAAATCTAGGATTTAATAACCGGGTATAGGTACTCATGATGTCAATATAAATTAACAGTTGAAATTTTTTTCCATTTCTTTTCATTAGATTTTAATACCTTTTGCAGCTTCAGATCAACTCTATAATATGACTGACACCAATTAATAAATATATTGACAAAAGTAAAAGCAAGATCACAATTCACAAACATTACATGAGTTTATCCCAGGTCAGGGATGTCCATGATTGAATTTGTGAAGTTCGCATTGTAGTGGATAGAATAAGTTGAATTTAGCTCCGCAAGGGTGAGTATGGTTTTTTAGGGATAAATATAAGGAATCTCAACAATTGATAAGAAAATCAAAGGAGAATTTAACATATATATATGGTTTGTTATGCATCAGTATGTAATATCAACCCTGCGTTATCTAATCAAGTTAAGATTCATTAACTTTCTCTCTTTAGTGAGATTCACTTAAGAAAGCCAAATCTGAATAGTTTAACATATTTTGGGATGTTGCAGATGCATAATCCCTAATTGTCCAAAATACACACTGGACCAAGGATATCTATTGTTGAATTCAGAATGCGAAGAACACATTATATGCAAACAGGAGAGTACTTTATAATATTACTTCAATATCACTGAATGTCATCAGAAAACCAATATGTTATGCATTAACAAAGCATAAAATTTCAGAGAAAGACAAACCATACTCCATGTCTTCAGATAATAAGACGGGAAATTTAGCTTCTACATGAAAAACATAATTATATGAATTAGGCTTATCAGGCAAACCTTTCTTTTCATCTCCTTAAGCATATCTTCAAGACCAGCCCTTTGAGCTCCAAGAGTTTCTAGTTGCCTCTGCATTCATTAACACAAAATTTCAACAAGAATCATAAACACACCAAATGAATGCATTTAACATTACATCCTGCCAAACAATTAAAATATTTACCACAAAAATCTGAATGTAAATGAAATGCCTTCTATTGCTACCTCTAAACAATACTCATTCAATTTCAAATCTCAAGCTTGCAATTGGATTTCTTAACTTTAATTAACTCTCATCACTAAGAATATAACTACGAAGAAACCATTTGGTACTCAGCTCATTGGTAAATGTTAAGGTTCCAACATAAAACCAATTGGCAATATGTGGAGTAGCCTAACATGTATTTAAACCATACCAAATGATATGAGGTAGGCGATGTGGGACTTTCAACACACCCCCACCAACGAAGCCTGCCGGACCAGGCAAAGGGTACTTTTGACCCAACTAAAGGGCAACTTTTGGCCCATGACAATAACCGGAAAGATGTTAGGCTTTGGCTCTGATACCATGTTAAGGTTCCACATAAAACCAATTAACATGTATTTAAACCATACCAAATGATATGAGGTAGGCGATGTGGGACTTTCAACAGTAAATTTCATAATTACGGTAAAGGAGTGAATATAAGAGTTAGGAGCATTATTTCAAAAGGTATGAAATGAAAGAATCACTAATATAATATGAAATCTATCACAAAGTGCTGATGAAAATTTTAAAGAACATGATATTTAACTTGCATCTGAAATTTTACATCGGCTACCCAGTCCACTATCCTAAACCTACTATAGCAATTTAGGGTTAGCCACTAAGATTGATAAATGCTAACAACATTAAACAATAGCTGCATAAATTTGGATGGAAAAAATGGTTACAAAATTTATTTTTAACAAGTCAAAATATAATAATAACAAGACCAAACCAGCATACCAAGCTTTGCTTGAGAGACCCCACAATAGCATCTTCATTTTGATCAAATGACATAATTGGCCTTGCCAAGCTCGGAAGTGCAGATTCAATCTGATTAATAAAAACAGAGATTCAATGACTTAACAACGTTTTGCTGATGACACTTAGAAGCAAATAAATCATAACAAATAGTACAATAATTTACCGGACGAGAATCAAGGATTGACATGAGTGCTGAATGTTCTCTAACTGAACGCTCAATCCTAGCATCACTTTCAGCAGCTTGCTTCAAGTTACCGGCAAACCTATTGAGCCTATCCTGCAAGTTTTTGGTCAAGGTGCTTGACTGGGGCCTGGTCCATTTTGTCCCAAATTGACTTCTAAATTGAGAATCTTCTCTTGCTTCCTTCTGCAACATTTCCTCAGTCTGGACCAGCAACTCTTGATTCACCCTCCTTAGGTCTTTAAGTTGCTGCAACTCTGCTTCCAAACCAGCAGGGCCCCCACTGATCTGCACAGCCTCCACGTCTTCTTTGAGACTTGTGGGAAGAGTAAAATTTCCTTCCAAAGCCAGAATGGAGTCTGGCAATTCCATTTCCTTAAGCCTCACTCGGGTTAGCTCACTAGCTTGCTGCAACTTTTCAGCTTGTGTTCTTATAACATCATCTACCATTTCAGTATATCGGGAAAGGGCCTTTGCACTGCTGTCTGGAACAAGACTTGCAAACATCTTCTCTTTGCTTGCATCCAGCAAATCATTCATTGCCAAGGGCTTCACCATAGAAAATGCTGGAAGGGGTGGTAATGAACTTGGCGAAGGAACTCGCATGAGATAAACCCTATCATTCTCCTTGACAGCCCTTTCAAGGTTCTGGTTAATATTGATCTCTAACCTGGCAATTGCATCTAGAATTTGCACCGCAGCACCCTTAGAGCTCTTCTTCGTCTCAGTCAACACATTAACAGCACTCTGCAGCCGTGCAATCTCCTCTGCTATCTCCTCTTTATCATGCAGCTCCAATCCATACCTATAACAAGCTTCTGCATAGAACAGTGCCGCCTTCAACTGTACATGAACTATCCAGGATTTATCAAAATGCTGGCTCAAAGGTGCAACATTCAGTGCAGCTAAAACTTCCTCATAATATAGCCCAACCTACAACAGGTATAACATCTCAACTACATGTCTGTTCTTCCAAAATGACAAAACAAGTGTCACAAGATCAACATATCATTGATCAGAGAAATTGGACAATTAAAGCATTTGAAAAAAAAATGTATCATATTCACGATTCATAGTTAAAATTACACTCAAAATTATACTCGCCAGAAAGTCCTAAAGCTTGTTTTGAACTCAAGAAACCACAGAGAGCTTCTAACATGTGTGACCTGGCGTGAAAGGACTGATGATCACACTAGTTCAATGAGTGTGCCCTCTAGAAACCAATATACTGGTCCAAATAATCAAACAACAACGTTCTCAACCAAACATTCCAACAAAAATCAGTGATTAAAGTTGTTAAACAATTAACAGCATTAGATAAAAATGTATTGACAATTTACTATCCATAATTAAAATTGCTCCGCCAAAGAATGTGCACTAACTATAGAGGCCCAAAGCTTGATATAAACTGAAGAAGCCCTAGTGAGCTTCTATCATGCGTCAAAGCACTGTTCAAGCCGTTCAATGAGAATGCCCTGTAAAATTCATTATACAGGACCTAGGGATTATACACCCAACCCTCCTCAACCAGCAGTCCAAAACAAATAAGGGAGCAAAGTTGTCAAACAATTAGCAGCATTTGCATAAAACATGTTATATTCACAATTGATAATTAAGTTTGTCGATAATAGAAAACACACTCACTGAATAGTCCTAAAGCTTGATATGAACTCAACAAAGAAACTCATGACGTGGCATCATGAAAGGATTGATCCACCTATTCAATGAGAACCCTTGCAGAAATCATTACAGAGGGCCCAAGGATCAGAAGCCCACTAGAAAAACGGCCATAAACCAGATAATCTTGACCAATTTGAAAGATCATTGAATGTGCCCAACTTGTGGTTGTTTGATCAAGTAAGAGAAACTCAATAGAATTCATAATTGTGTCAGACAGATTTTTTCTAATTGTCTAAATAGTCAAGAGTTAAAGACTGACGACCATCCTAATACCCCTTTCGCCAAACTTAAAACTAAACGAACAACTAGGATAAGCAAACCTAATACGATGGCTTCCCTAAATACATATACCGCTAATACATCAAGACTCGTTGCTTATAAATGAAGATAAACCCTTTCAACTTCAACAACAACGAAAATGAGAGCAAACATATAATAACGGCAGGAAATTGTAGCCAAGCATGGCCTATTGGTCCAATTTGATGGTCCAGAGTCTTTCAAGCATCAAACCTGAAAGAATGATTGTAAGTGAAAACCTAAAACTGGCTAGCAACGGACCTGTCTGGAGATCTTGGCACAGACACCGGGAGTGCTCCCTTTAGCAATGGTATTCTCGAAGACGCACTCCTGCGCCTGCGCGAGCATGAGCTTCTCCAGCATCCCGGCACACTCAACGGACAAATCAACGGTGGTGGAATTCCCAACGGAGGCCTTCATGGAGGCGTTGTCGCGGAGGAAGGCAAAGGAACCGGCAGCAGCAATGAAGGCATGCGATGCCATGCGGCGGCCGTCAACGGTGGATCGATCGAAAGACATTCCAATCTGACTATAAATGGCACCCAAATTGAAGAGCACGGATGCCTTCTCGAGGTGGATGTTCTGCTGTGAGGCCTTCTGCTTGGGCTTGAAGGCATCGAACCAAACGAAGGTGAGAGCGTTGACGTGGTCAGGGTCTGGGGAAATTGGGAAGCGTGTCTCAACAAGACAGAGAGATTTGAAGTAGGTTTGGAGAAGATCGCGGCGCGCCGGGAGGGACGGATCGGTGTGACGCTCGAGGTCGGAGCGAAGATGCTTTAGGGTTACGAGATCATCCTCGAGGTTCTGCGCTTCGCGCTCGGAGTAGTGAAACGCGACGTAATTGCGGAGGGGACGATACAGATCGACGGTGTTCGTTTTCTTCTCGTAGATCGCGAGCATGATGTTGGGGGACCCCGCGGTGGAGGATGACGACTGCGCGGCCATGGCTACGGAAGAAGAACTTAATTTGGATTTTGAACTCTCTTTTTAGTTGGTATTTTGTTGCCACATGGGATTTAAAAACGCTCACTAGATTTACTTAGTGATAGACCCAAACTTGACTTCTTCTCAACTTAATTTTATTGGGTCTCATTTTATTTATCTATTTTGACAAGGAAAATTGTTTTTTTAATGGTTAAGCAACACTGGTTTTAGTTTTATTTATTAGCAACTTCTATAACAATTCATTTGCTCCAATATATTCTCACGTTGCTTAAATTTAAGAACCAACTACTTTTGAGTTGCTCTACGTTGTGTATTTTGAACTAAAACACAATTGAGAAACAAACCTAATGTATGCAAACATGAAAAGTTGGGGATGACAATGCAATGGTACAGGAAAAGTGGGGCAAGTGAGTGAGAATAAAGGAAAGAAGGGAATGTGAAGAGAGAAAGGAGGTTGTAATTTGTGAATTAACTACAAATAATAGTTATATCTTTACATACCTTGTAATTTCTTTTGTTTCTTGCCATATGAATAAAATAAGGACTTTTTTTTGTATTTTATGGTGAAAAATAAGAATGAGAAATGTTAGGATCCAATTGGATCTCTTGCATTTGAAGTATGAGATTATTACTGTGGTTTATAGGGCCTTGGATTCTCCAACTACAACGGTTGGCTTTTGTTGTGTGGTTCTCCAATGACCTTGCCTGAGCTGCAAATGAGCAATGTGGGAGATGACACTAACACATTGCAATGTTTGCCTGGGATCCAGGGGCTAGCTAATAAAGCTAGTGCACAAAGAGCCACTTTCTTCCTGCACCCCATCTATCTTTCTTGTACGTTCGTATTATCTAAAATAATAATATTATCCTTAACATAAATACATATTAAAATAAAATTTTGGAATGCAATTTCGGGAAATATTTAGAATTGAACTTTCTAAAAAATTTTGGCAAATTTATGGAAAAACTTTCTAAAAGTCAATCCAAAATATTTAAAAAAAATTCTGTTTTAAAATATTTTAGATCGACTTTTGTGAGAGATATTTTTCAAAAAAATTGATTTTGGAATGTTTCTAGAAAGCATCCAAAATATTTTTTGAAAGCTCATTCCAAAAATTTCCCATAAGAATGAATTTAGAATAATAATATATATATATATATGATTCTTTATGGATTTATTACATTTTCTTTTGTGTGTCACTATTTTCCTCGATGTCTCACGCTTTTGTCACATGTTCTTCTGATATGATTCTTCTAATTTCTTATCATAAAACTGCTAATACTGAGAACTCAGGTGTGGAAAATCAAACAGAACCAGTAGAGAAAAACATTCAACATGCTAAGGAAGCAATCATTATAGACGTTAAGCGTTCAAAATTTAATTGTGAGCATCAAACATTACATAAGAAAGTTGAATAACGAATGAATAAGACATGTAACTTAATGTATTAAAGTTTTTAGTTGAAATTAGTGCAAATCTCTTGTACGAGTTGAACTTAATTTCATTATTGCCGTATCTCCTATAAATTTGTTTAGAAAGACTAAACAATAATATAAAAATTGATGATTTATTTGATAATCAATTCCAACTCGATTGAATACGAGTTAAAATAAATAAAAGCTCATAAATTATAGATTCATACAAAATATTTGTAACTAAATAAAAGATATATATTTTGTAACTAAATAAAAAATATGGGAAAAAATAAACAACTTTAAATTTTCTTGTTTGTTCTTAAATGAGATGCAATCTCCATGATCTTTTAACATCATCTAATCTCCTTGGCAAATAACCATGGAAATGCTTGTTTTTTTCTTTTTTTTTGGGATCATACCAAACTTTTACATTCTTTATTAAAAGCATATCAAAATGGTGTGAGTATGACGAGGAAGGATTTATAATGTGCATACGGTAGAAATATACCTTCCTTTTGATCACTTTTTTATAATTCTACGTGGAGATTAGTATTGTATGTTATATGTTGATAGGATTATCATTTTTGGAATGGAAGACCTAATGTTTGGTAATATGTACAAGGGATGATTGTGATCATGCAAAAAGAGTAGTCTCTTATCTACGTGCATGTGTTTGTTATTATAATGTGACTTGCAAATTTGAAGTTGTTATTTATTCAAAAACAAATGTTTATTCATCCGCCGTAAACTGGAGTGCAACCATTATTTGTCTCAACCATGCAAGATATTAAAATTAAGGGCAAAATGTAGTTTTAATCAGATACAAATGTGACTAAAGTAGCATAAATGTGACTAAAGTAGCACAAATTAAGGGCAAAATGTAGTTTTAATACACAAATGTAATAATATTTATGGAAGACCAGAACGTAGCAAATGGTTTCATTTCCAATACACCGAAAATACGAAGACAGCAGAGAAAATATAAAGTTGTTGTGTAAGAAAATGGCAAAACACGACACATATTATAATTGGCAAACCAATAACTCTATCTTTTGAAACTTTCCCTTATACACTACACATCTTTTTCATCATAATATAACATTAACAATTTTAAAGTTTACTCTTTACTCTAGAGGCTGGAATTGATCATACAAATGAAAATTCATTGAAGAAGAACACTCCAACATGGTACTACGTCAGTCCTTGGGTTTTATTTATGGTGAAAATAAAACTCTCAGACAAAACCGAAATTTATGGTGAAAACAAAGCTCTGGCATTGCATATTAAAAATTGTTGCAACTGTGGAGCGAAATTTCTCAATATTATATTAGATGTATAATGTTACAAAATATATTAAATGGATTAGATATTGTTTCTTGTAAAATATATTTAATAAGATCTTTTATCATAACTAGTTTTATATTTGCTTCATGTATCCTCGGGAAGAATATCTAAAAATATTTAAGTTAATATCTTTTACCATATATGTATTTAGTTTTTTTCTAATAAAGGATTAACGATACATATTCTATTAAATTCCTATAAAAGCTTTACGTTACTCCCAAAACTTCCCTGCACCCCTGAATGTCAGAAACAACAATTCCTCCAAGATTACAAAGAACTGCATATTCATCAACATTTGTAATTAACAATCAAGAACTAATACATGATAAAGAACAATTGAGCACTTCAAATCATTTAAAAACTCTGCTGTTGATCAGTGAAGTTGAATATCCACTTCTCATTTTCCCACATCACATTGGTATTTCTAGAAACTTATAAGATATATTTGAACATATTTCTCCACTAAAATTTATAAAATAAATATATAAATAAAATAAAAAACATATTTTATAAATGAAAATTAACTTTTATATAATTTAAAAAATTAAAATAAATATGAAACTTTTTACAAATTTGTATATAGATAAACTAGTTTTAACTTCTGTAATAAAAAAATTTCTGAAGAAAATCATCATAGAAATTTGTATCTAATTGGTCAAATCAAAACGCACTGAATCTAATTACTAAAATTTATATAATAGTAACCTGAAAACAAGAAAAATTGCTTCGTCCATGCATCAGAATCTGCAGTCAAAGCAATGAACATAACACATGTCAAACGAACAATGAAACACATAACGGATCAAGTGCGGTGCGACAAGCACTAGCAATGCTTTATATTTTTTCCCTTCAGATTGAACTTTATAGGTGGGAGAATCCCCTCCGAAAGTACAAATTAAACAAACTATACACAAGGTTGTATCAGTTTAACTATATATACAATCCGGTGATGATGCAAAACAACGCAAGGCATAAATACAGGACAGAAATTTTCACGCTACGCAAAGCCTTCAAGATAAAGGGCCGAATCTCATTTATTTAAGAGATATGACGTAAAAAAGAATATTATATTTATGCTACAAGATGTATGGATGAACACTATTGCTGCTTATAGTAGCCACTTTGGTGAGGTGGAGGATATGGAGGCAGAGGTACTGAACCAGGTTGTTATGCTTGTGTGTTGTAGTACGGACCACGCCATCCGGGATATGCTGGTTGGGCATACTCATGGTTTGCCGGTGGCTGCTGGTGGCCCTGACGGGATGAGTATGGAGCAGTTGATGATGGTGGAATGTGGTATCGTGGTGGAGGTGGAGGTGGAGGCTGATGATGTGCAGGACCACGGTATTCGAAAGGGGGATCATTGCTACAGGGAGCAACTGGTGGCTGCTCATCTGGTTGATAATAAGGTGTTTGTGGACGAGAATCTGTTTGTGTACTGGCTCTTTGATTTTGGCTTCCCACTGATGGGTAGTTGCTGTTAATAGCACCTATGTTTCTGTTATCCTGGAAACTCAGACCTGCCACTTGTCTCTGAACGTCTTCAATCATTTCTTTGCACTGGATGTTCCTTGTCATTATAAAGTCGAAGCTCTGCTGCTTTACGTTAGTGATTGCATCCTGTCCATCAAAGATATTGCATATTATTGCATGATGATATTTATTATAAACAGTATCATCCAACCATGTTATTCAACGATTTTTACGAGATATTAAATTAGCATTACTGGCGGAGGAAAGACTGTGTGCCTATATTGTTTTAGATAAATATAAGGATATATGGGAAATTAAAGGCGGAAAGGAATAAATACTGATAGCGGTATGTAGAAGCGACAAATTTTTAAAGGATAAATAAGTGAGAAAAAAAACCAATAGATAGATGTCTGTTGTTTGTGGAAGTTACAAAGTTGATGAATAAATAAATATATAAACAAAAACAAAACTAGTTAAAAGGCAAACATGTCATAAAAAATGTGTATAGCAAAATATGATATCCCTTTTAATTATTAGCTATAGAAAAATTACCACATGGAATCAATTAAAAAGTCGGTTAAGTTCCTTAAAATATAATTAAAACTACATGTAGTTTGATAAGTTCTTACCTGTAGGGTAACATAAAATTTTAACCCTTCATTGATGTTGTCCTCTATTTCTTGAAATTTTGCGATGGAAGCTTCAATCTGCTTATAGGCTTTTTCACGTGAAGCTGAAATAAATATAAGAAACCATTAGAAGATCAACTATGACACAGGAAAGGTGCACTCAAGTTGGAGCATTATGGACCACAATAACAAAACTGAGTTTTATGTACAATAATAACAGTTGAGAAAACTTTATGTACTATATTAAACATAATCTGAAAAACAGACTTAACTTTGTCAATGGTAAAAAAACCAGATTCAATCTAGAAAACAACCAAATGGGACCTACCTTTGTAATCATCAAGATTGAAGATAACAGAGAACTCTTCATTCTGATCCTGGGGAACAATAGCAAGCAATTATCAGAATCACATCATTAAAATTTATCTCTTCATCTATTAGAACAAACACAATCACCTACAAAGGAAGCATTCAACAACCACTATTCTACAGCAAATAGGCATAATGGCAGATAGTCTGTCACTTTTGCCTCTGTCGGCAACCTCTCAGGAAGCAGGAAAAAAAAAAGGTAGTTTGCATTTGCTGATGAAGTAGTTTTAGGAATTAGTTATAGTGGTAATCAAGACTATAGAGTTTAGTCACCTTGAATAACCACTGCATGGGAAAAGATAGTCCCAAAAAATTTATTGGGGAATATTTCGTTTTCTCAAATGCATTAGCACTAGTTCTCTTTAGATGGGTTACGGGCATACAGAGACAAATACCTGGATCTGCAGCAACAATTGCCCTTCTGCCTTGATATTTTGAGCTATTTCTTCACAAATATGGTCATATTTTGCTATCTCCTTCTTCAAGAGATCATAAGAACAGCTGGATTTCATTAACTTTGGTAATATATCATCCTGAAAGATATTTATACAAATATAAGCCAAATAGTATTGGGGTGTAATGCATTCATGAATGAAAAACTACACAGGAGGAAACATTCCCAGCTAATCTTAACATCCAGAACATTAGAAACCTAAGTGAAGAAAACAAACCCAAACCACTAATTCATCTAGCACAATAAGTTAACAGAATATAAGTTCAAAACATAAAAATGTCATATACTTCTGCTTATCATTCTTAATTACAGCTCAGCATATTTTCACATTACATGGAGGGAACCATGAGTTCAAAGGCATAGCTTCAAATACTAGAATCTATACAATGAAACATAGCTTCAAAGGCATAAGCTTAGAATCATTAAAGTATTCAGTTATCTAGCATATACACATAATTATACACTTTGTTAGAAAATTTAGGTTTAGGCCTAACCAAATCCCATAACACTGACTTCTCAAGTCAGGATTGCCTCTTATATAATTTAATTATATCATATTTCTGGACAATGTGAGATCTCGAACATATACCTTTCACACCAAAGATTAGTCACATTGAGTGTGGCCACATGGTAGATCGCCTAATAGTGATTAAACTAATAAACCCAACAAATTTTACTATGATAATTTTTTATACTAACTTATAATGTAAGTTAAAGTCTAACTTAACCCAACAAAACTAATGTGTAAAAGGATTGTACCTCACATTTTTTTCATGTTTTATTTATAATCAATAAGGGACTTGTGTTTTTCCTAATATACCCCCTCTCACAGAGCACTACTGAGCTTGGTGTGCAAATAATAATACAATAGGTAACCATTTTTAACGGATCTAATATAGACTATGATATTATCTTGTAATTTAAGTTTAAGTCTAACTCAAACCACAAAACCAGTTTTTACGGTCAGAGTTATTTCCAACTTATATACTTTAATTTGGTCATATCATATCTATAGAGAACGAGGGGTCTTCAACAATATCATGCTTATATCTTTAAAATATTTCAGAGTATCCTAGATTACCTCTTAGGATTTATATATTTTTCATTTGTTTCATCATTTAATTAGAATCTTCATAACAGCCGGCATATTGTTTATTTGTATTTATTGTATAAAGTATATGAAAGAAACTCCATTTTGTAGTCAGACACACAAATATTTTTTACTACCATTGAATCCTGTGTTGCTCCAAAAAAAAAAAGCAATGCCTCTTACTAGACTGAACCAAACTCCACATAACTAAGATTTAATAACAAGTATAGGTACTCATGATGTCAATATAAATTGACAGTTGGAATTTTTTTCCATTTCTTTTCATTACATTTTAATACCTATTGTAGCTTCAAATCAACACTATAATGTGACTGACACCAATTAATAAAATATATTGACAAAAGTAAAAGCACGATCACAATTCACTAACATTACATGAGTTTATCCCAGGTCAGGGATGTGCATGATTGAATTTGTGTTCGCATTGTAGTGGATAGAATAAATTGAATTTAGCTCCTCAAGGGTGAGTATGGTTTGTTAGGGATAAATATAAGGAATCTCAACAATTGATAAGAAAATCAAAGGAGAATTTAACATATATATATATGGTTTTTTATGCATCAGTATGTAATACCAACCCAGGGTTAAATAATCAAGTTAAGATTCATTAACTTTCTCTCTTTAGTGAGATTCACTTAAGAATGCCAAATCCGAATAGTTTAACATACTTTTGAATGTTGCAAATGCAAAATCCCTAATTATCCAAAATACATACTGGACCAAGGATATTTATTCTTGAATTCAGAAGAAGTAGAAGAACACATTATATGCAAACAGTAGAGAACTTTATAACATTAATTCAATATCACTGAATGTCATCAGAAAACCAGTATGTTATGCATTAACAAAGCATAAAATTTCAAAGAAAGGCAAAACCATATTCCACGTCTTCAGATAATAAGACAGAAAATTTAGCTTCTACTTGAAGAACTGAAAAACCAAATTATATGAATTAGGCTTGTCAGGCATACCTTTCTTTGCATCTCCTCAAGCATATCTTCAAGACCAGCCCTTTGACCTCCAAGAGTTTCTAGTTGCCTCTGCATTCATTAACACAAAATTTCAACAAGAATCATAAACACACCAAATGAATGCATTTAACATTACATCCTGCCAAAAAAAAAAAAATATTTACCACAATAATCTGAATGTACAATGAAATGCCTTCTATTGCTACCTCTAAACAATACTCATTCAATTTCACATCTCAAACTTGCCATTGGATTTCTTAACGTTAATTAACTCTCATCACTAAGAGGGTAGCTACGAAGAAACCATTTGGTACTCAGTTCATTGGTAAATCTTATAATCATGGTAAAAGGATTGAATATGAGAGATAGGATCATCAGAAAGCTATAAATTCGAAAGGTATGAAATGCAAGGATCACTAATATAATATGAAATCTATCACAAAGTCCTGATTAAAATTTTAAAGAACATGATATTTAACCATATCTGAAATTTTACATCCGCTATCCAGTCTACTATCCTAAACCTGCTATAGCAATTTAGGGTTAGCCACTAAGATTCATAAATGCTAACAACATTAAACAACAGGTGCAAAAATTTGGATTCAAGAAATGGTTACAAATTTTATTTTTGAGAAGTCATAAATTATAATAAGAAAATAACAAGACCAAAACCAGCATACCAAGCTTTGCTTGAGAGACCCCACAATAGCATCTTCATTTTGATTAAAAGACATAATTGGCCGTGCCAAGCTCGGAAGTGCAGATTCAATCTGATTAATAAAAACAGAGATTCAATGACTTAACAATGTTTTGCTGATGA